CGCCAGCGATTGCCCAATAAGATGAATCAGTATCACCTTCAATGAAATGAAAACGATTAACATCCATGCATTTATACATAAAATCATAAATGAAAACCAAATACCAGTATTTAGCATTATCTAAAGTGAAGAATGCCTCTTGTAAACATGTATCACATCTATAAAATCTATCTTTGAGCATCACTTGATATGTATCTTCACCTATTTCTCTTATGTTTTTAAACTTATTTGACATACATGCAACGCGTGCCTTCTGTGCATTCATTATTTTAGTCTTTGCGTAATTTTGTGTATTCATTGCATCGTAACCATATGATCCATTAAGTGAAATCTTGCAAAATAAACTTTTTCCTTTATTTCCTTCTAATTCAGCCTTTTGTCTTTCGTTCATAAATTTGTTCGCAAATTCATTAAAACAAGTGTTTTTAGTAAATGTTAAAATTGATTGAATGTCATCAATGATAAAATGAAATCTGTCTATTAGATACCAAAGATAATAAGAAGAAAATGGTTGATATTGGCTGTATGTTGATGCTAACTGAGTTAATTTTCTCTGTTTCTGGTCAACTGGTAGATTGTTTGATTTCATGTAATTATACATAAAACTGCCAATTGTTTTTTCATCTGTGATAATATCTAAGTTTCTTATTATCGGTAAAAAGTTTATGTAATCATTAATGTATTTTTCATCAATGTGACCCTTTACTTCAGCCACGAATAAAGTATTTTTCTTCTTAATTATTCCCAGTGCTTTTGCTTTCTTTGTTGCTGTATCACAAATGATAACACCATTCAATCTTTCCGGCATATACATTTTATGGTCAGTATATTGAATGAAATCATGAGGATTAGATGAAAATGATGAAGGATATAATGAATTAAAATCAACACCAACGAAATGAGTCATAATGTTGGTGGTGTCCTCATTTGATACAGTTTTAGTTTCTGGATTATATGAAAGTTTATTAATGTGCGTGATTCCTTTAAGATTTACTCTATGTTGAACATTTGATAGACCACCAGTAATTCCATTACGGAGAATGTGATAAGCTTCAACTGAATCTAAAGTCATTGGTAAATTATATTTTAATGCATAATTTCTTAAATTGATTCTTAAACGTTGAACATCTTCATCTTTATTTGATTTTACGACATTGCAATAACAACACATTAACTGACAATTTTCTTTGGTATGTGGTTTTTCATTATCGATTCTATCCAATGTTGGTTTATTTGCATATGTAAACGCTTTACCACACATTTTGCATTTAGATGAAAGGATTAAATCGTGATAGTATTGAAAATCATCCATTGAAACATTATTTTTACTATCCCTTTCTGCTTTTTCATCTTGTTTCTTATATGATTCAATTTTATATTTCCAATACTTTTTCGTTAATTCAAAACTTGATTCTATCTCTTCCTCAGGATATTTTTCATTAGGATTAAAGTCTTTATATGCTAAAGCGTAACGAATCATTGAAGCATTCGATGATAAAGAAAGATTATGAAGCATATCAATTTTATAAACAAATGTTTCTTCAATAATTTTATCGATTGGGTCAATCATAATTTCAACATCTTTATTGCAATAATGAATAAAATATTCTAATCTATTCTTAAAATTTTTAGCATCATTGAGATATATTTGATAATCACTATCTGATATAGTTTCTTGAGTTAATGTTGAATAAAATGAATCTTGAGTGAATGGTTCCACTTTATATAATTCTTCTTCGTAATTCTCCCATGTGATGAATTGATAAGGGAAAAAGGATTTAACACGTGATTTATTGTTTCCGAAATCTTGAGTGAATTGGTCTAATGTCCCACCCGCTATATAATTTCTGATGTCAATAAATCTCAATTCATATGAAACGTTTGTTTTCTTTACAATGATTTGCTTAAATTGTGAAGATGAACCCAGCATTGATTTTATTTTCCATTTTGCAGTGTTTAAATCATGAAGAATTAAATTTAAATCAAACTTTCCCGAATTAAAACCTATGATATTCACTTTATTGAATTCTTCATCTAGAAGTTCTTTAAATGCTTCCTTCTGTTTTTCATTTAATGTATGAGACAAAGTCCCCACCGTTTGCGACTTCATTAATTCTTCATATTGTTCAATATTTGATTTAGCAACTAATGAACAGGTTGAAAATAAAAACTCAATCCAATCAGAAATAAAAGAATCACTCGAAGTTAAGCAAAAATTCCTCGTATATGTTTTATCGTTTAATTTAACCGTTGATGATACCATGAATGGTTTTAAGTAAGCATTCAAAGTTGCACACTCAGAAAGTTGTAATTCTTCTTTAGTCTCTAATGTTTCGAAGTCAAAAGTAATATAATATCTTGTCGGTTGATAATATTCCTGCAAATTATGTGCTAATAGCCATTGATATATCTTCTGTTTCGTGATATGTGGTGCATATGGTTGTTGTGTGTTTTGCAATTGAACGTCTTGAATTAATCTTCCATTATTTTCTTTACATTTCTCACAATGTTTTAAAAATCTTCTTTGGTTTTTCCTTTCTGGATCATCACGGATAGAATATACTTCTTCTTTGCAAAAGGGGCAAACTTTATATCCTGTGAGTGCTTCAACGTCTGTTATTCTGTCAGCGTGAAGTTTTCCACATGGACTCTGTGTTAATAAAATATTTACTGTTTCAAATTCTGGATCTATCATTATTGATTCCACTAATGGAAAGTCTACCTTGTTAATGTCTACGTCTTCTGGTTGAGGGTCACAATAATAAAAATCAATATTAACGTTTAACATTCTTGCTAACCTCTCACTTTCTGATGAAATGTCAAATCCTTCATATGCATCTATGGCTTCATTTAAATAACTTCTACGAGTTTAGGATTAACACCATCAGGAATGTTATAGAAGCGTTTAAATAACCTTCTACCTTCGGCTCTTATTTGATTATCATTCATTTTAGCTGTTCCATTTTTGTTCATTTATGTAAGAATAAAAATTAAAAAAATAAATAAAAATAAAGTTTATTTTTTTTAAAGTCCGAGACTCAGAGAGTCCAGGGCTAAAGTCCATAAAATGAATTAAGAACACATAAATTTTTATCATCTGCGACGTGACGAATGCATTTTAATTTACTCAAGAATGCATACCCTGATACATTAAATCTAATTCCTGTCTTATTTAATTTCACAACTTTGAAAAGGAATGTATGAATAGCTATAAAATGATGAGATGATGTTTTATGGGTTGCTTCCATTTTTTCTGAAATAAATGAATAAATATAATGTTTATAAGTTTTCATATCTTTTATGTTCTTAATAACGAATGGTATAGACCTTTCAACTTCGTCTTCCTTCGGTGCTGTTCTTTCATATGAAACATTATTGGTATCTTCAATAATGAAACCACAATCGCATAAAATTTTATATGTACCAATTGTTTCTTTTGATATTTTATCGAACAAATCAAAAACTTGATCAACACCTGTACATTTATTTAAATAATAATTTGTGTAAATATCATGGTCTTCTTTCTTAATCGTATTTGTTGCATATGTTACATTTTTCAGTGCTTTTTTGAATTTTTCAGAATCAAGAGGAGGTGAAAGTAATATACATGGATAATCTCCATCGTCAATAAACTGAAGCTTATGTTTATGAATAAATTTTGTGCCTTCTTCTGAAAGTGTTTCGTCAATATCACCATCTAATAAATTTTTTAGTAGATTCCAAAAAGTAATTTTTATATCTTTCCTCATGTGATTTTTGAACTTCTGATTCTGAAGCTGGGATATTCATTAAACCCTCTACTTCATTCTCAGCATTTCTCAATTCACTAATTCTTTCATCTATTTCATTTCTTAATTGTTCCAATTTCTCAATCTCATCGTTATAATATTCATCTTGTTTAATTTTTTCTTCAAAATATTCAGGAGGTGTTTCAAGGCTCGCTGAGCCCAGGTCCTCCGGACCATAAAGAGGAATATTCTCCTGTTTTTCAACTTTTTTGGGATATAAATATCTCATTATAGCCTTTTTAGTAATTGGTCCGTTATATTTAAATTCATTCAACAATCTGGAAAACTCTTTCACATTCTGCATATATGTTGGATAAGAACCGTCTCCAAAATTTTCTAAAATATTTTCTAATTCTGAATTAGTGAACTTTAAAGATTTCAATGAATTAGTTGTTATACTCATTTTCTTACGAATTAAAAAAATAAAAAAATAAATTTAACTTAGTTTTAATTTTACGTAAGAAGTTAATTTTTTATTAATGGTAATATAGGAATTGTAGGAATAAAAGCTTTTTATAAATTATTCAAAAATGTAAGACATGAATTTTTAAAGTTTATTTTTTATTCATGAAAATAATTATTTCTAATTTCTTTTACTCTCTCGTATATACTAGATTTAAAGAATTCAGAACTTTTACCATAATCTCCTAAATGTTTTCTTATCTTATTGGTTTTCCATTCATTATATGAAACTGTATAAACTTTATCTTTATCTTTGCATCTTTCATCACTTCCAATATATTTATATTTCAATTTTGATTTATTGGTTTCATATTCATTAACGTTTAATAATTCACAGTCTTCCTTTTTAAATAAATGTTTTATGTATTCAGGATTAACAATTCTATAATATTGCTTCCCTTTAAATCTTTGAATATAAACAGGAACACCATCCTCTAAAATTCGATAATCTATTTTATCTGGTTTTACTTGTTGGGTCATTTATGTAAGAATAAAAAAATAAATTATTTTAAAATTAATGTTAAAAATAATGATACAAAATCGTTCAATATTGTATGAATTCTTACGTTTACAAAAAAAGTCACATAACCCATCCTATCATACTACTCAATTTTATTGAAGAGCTCTGAGTATTTAATCGAAAAAATATGGATACATATGTTTAGGTTAAGCGTTTGATATCAATTAAATAAAGATTTAAAAATTTTAACGTATATCGACTGAAAAAAAAACTTTTTCGTTCAAAATTTGATGAATGATTCTAAAAATGGGACGAAGAAACAGTTTGATATTCCTCTTGGCTGCGAATTTGACATAGTTATTGACTGTAACGAAGAGTTTAATATCTCAGTTAATAAAATTTCAGCACTAGATTTAAATGCCTCGGAAAGAAAGTCATTTGCATTAGCTACATCGCGTTCAAAGTCAGCTAGAGCAAGTTCTAGACCAAAATCAGCTAAATCAACACGAATCAACAAATTAAATTTAACTGATAATATATTAGAAGGTGCGAACATGCCAACAGTGCGTCGTGTGGGTGTCGTTTCCTCAAGAATGTCTAGCACTGCTCAGCCGCCAATGTCAATCAGTCAATTTGATTCAAAATTAAGTCAAACTACAAGGGAGCATCCTACGACCGCCCGTTCTACAAGAAAAGATTTTCCAAATGGATACGTGCAAACGTATGTGTTTGGTTTTGAAAATCCACAACCTTACATTCCACATCCCTTTGTTTCTTCCCATAGACCGAAAACGCCACGTCCAGTTACTGCATCTGCTAGAATGCGTAATACTGATGAATTTGGAATCAAACTTAAAAAGAAAGTTAAATTATCTTCAAAGAGAGAAGTTCCTATATCAAAAGAGTCATCTCTCACGAATTCTCTTACAGTTAGAAGCTTAGAAGAGTTCCTTAATGAGAATGAATAAGATGTTTTGTATTTTTGTTTGTAATTAAATATTAATTTTATATAGATTAACAAAAATTTTTACGTATATACATTTATTTTACTTTATCTTTCAGTGTATCTCTGGGATCTTGATTCATAATAGTTTCGAATCAAAATCAGAAAATGATTTGGAAGAATTATTGTATTCGAAAGGATTCTAGGACAAGCTCAAAGATCATGAATTGTCCACGTTGTATTTGAACTAAAAAAAATCAAATATATAATTATCAACATAGTTATTAAATTTTTTACATGAGAATAAAAGGTGAAATTAATAAAATTGATATGGAGTAAGATGACTTTTGCAAGCATGTGACATATTCATTCTTACAATCTAATCTAAATGAAATAGTTGGGATGTTTTTTTGAAGAAAGATATCTGTTTTTGATGCATCACATCGAACAGCGCCACATTTTCTAAGATAAGGAGTATTGTCAAAGGCATTGTCACCTATTGTTGACAGGCTTGTACTTGTAATGAATAGAAATGCCAATTTAGTACAATCTTTGAAAGATTCTCGGCCTATTGATTGAATATTGTTTCCGCTAAAAAGAATTCTAACCAAATTTGAACACGACATAAAAGCATAGTTTCCAATAGATGTCATTGTCATTGGAACAATATATGTATCAATGGGGCTTGATGGAATGAATGTTATTAATTTTGTTTCTTCATAATTTGTTAGGGCATCATTACTAAATCTGTATAGTCTATCTTCTGAATTTAACTTTATTGATACTAATTGTGGACAATTTATGAAAGTTCCTCCATATATTTCAGAAAGGACACTGTTCAAAGAAAGAGAAACTTTATTAAGAGATATGCAATTTCTAAATGCAAATGACTTAATTACTGTTACACTGTTCGGGATAACGAATTCTCGCAATGAAACGCATTTTTCAAATGCAGATGCTTCAATTGAAGCGATATTGTTGTTGAATGTAATAGAAGTGAGATAAATGCAATTATAGAAACAGTTTTCTGGAATGGAGCTAGTGCTAACAGTTAAAGATTGTATTTTGCTGTTCATAAAAGCTCCATAATTGAAAGTCAATAAGTTCTTTCCACTATCACAAGACGTAATTCCACTGTTAACAAATGCAAATATGTCAATGTTTTGGATCTGTGTTCCTGATAATCCAATATCTCCTATGTTAGTACAGTCTCCAAATGCTCGTTCACGAATAGTTGTAATAGAAGATGGTAATATTATATTCCGCAACTGCGTACAACCACTGAAACAGTTCTTTGGAATAATGGTAAGAACTTCATTATTTGGAAACTCAACTGTTTTGAGATTCGGACAGCCTTGGAAACATTGATCTCCAATTGAATTCAGGCTTGATGGCAAAGTGATCTTCTCCAGCGTGCATTTATAAAAAGCTAGTCTATCAATTTGAATTAAAGATGCGCCATTAAATGATATTGATCGTAACTTCTTTGCATTGAAAGTTGAATATCCAACCAAATTCAATCCATCTGGAATTACTAAGTCAGTATTAGGATCATCACCGAAATAATCTGATAAAGATTTTCTTTCATTGGTGAACAGCATATTGTCTACATAGTTAATGTGTTTATTATCACTGACATCTAATTTCAACTTCATGCAGTTGAAAAACACAGCAGTAGAAACAGAAGTCAAAGTCTCTGGTATTTTCATTTCAAGAAGATTAGGGCAATTATAAAATGCCATATATTCAATTGTAGTTGTTTTATTTGAAAGATTCACATATTGCAAAGAAATACAATGTGCAAAACAGCTAATCTTAACGCTAGTAACCAACTCTGGGATCTTTATTGATGTTATACCTGTTTGTGCAAAAGCCCATGTGCCGATGTTACTTATCTGCTCATGTAATGTAATTTTCGAAACTTCACATGATCGAAAGCATCCATCAAATATTGATATAGTCTGGAATAATATATTGACCAATGTTTTTTCTTACAACTACAACCAATGTGCTATTATTCTCTCCGGAATAAATTGACTTACCATCAGTCCTATAAATAGTATTGTCTTTATCAATTGTAACACTTGCAATATTGCTAGAATAAAAAATAGATTTATCAATTCGAGTTACAGATTTTGGAATAAAGATATTTGAACAACGAACAGAAGCGAAGCATTCAGATCTTAATGTCGTCAATTTCGAATTAGGAGAGATATTAAAAGATGTAGTTCCTGTACCAACAAATGGCCAACCATGAGCAGCAACATATCCATCAATAATTTCAACAGAATCAGGAAGATTAATAACCTTCAACTTATCATCATCACTAAAGCATCCTGATTTAATTTCTTTAATATTTGGCGGGAAATAGAATGTAGATAAACTTCTGCATTGTTTAAATACTGAATAATTTAGATATGGAAGATTTTGACATTGACTTAGATCAGCAGAAACTAAACTTGATGTAGCAAAAATTGCATATACTTTCGCACTTACTTAAGGCTGCAAATTTTATTGATGTAATTAGTCCTCTGCATGCATAAAATGGACTATTTACCTCACTATTGCCACCACTAATAATTTTTACACTTTGAAGGATTTCCACATCTCCACTGAGGCTTTCAGGGCATTTGACAAGAACTGATTTAGATGGATCGGTATATTCAATACCTCTTCCATCATATTTATTGGAAGTCATTAATTATTTGCCATGTTTTGAAAAAATTGAAAGGTGGCATTCTGATTGAATGATCATTCAAATAGTTGCTCAGTATAAAACTACCTGAATTCAAAAGATGTTTCTAGGTTCAATTTGATTATGATTTATGGTCACTGGGATTAAACATTCTCATTTTTGTTAAAACGATTTGGAACCAAAATTAAGCTTGATTGATTTATTTGTGTAATTCATGTTTGTGCTAGCATTATTCAAACAATAAATAACGGTATTAGAGAGTCGAACTGATATTTTTCACTTCCTCAATTTTTCATTATGAATTCATAAATCAAAATAGCACAATATATTGGTTTAAGATTAAGCATATCCTGTCATATACATCAATATCAACAGGAATATATCAAAAATGAAAACGCTCTTGTACTGATTTCTAATTGCTTCAGTACATTGTCTTGTGTCTTATTGAACAAGAAAATTAGTTTAAAAATCGTAAAAATAAATAAAAAGAACAAACAAATAGTTTTAATTTTATATCAAAAATTATTTCTTAATTGATAATTCGAGTTTAGCATTTGTGGAATTTCTGGGTGTCTCAATAACTAGAGGCGTGGAGGGTTTACTTTTCTGAGGACTTGGTGTAGTTGATTTTGAATTTGAACTGTTCATAATTTTCCAATTAAGATGATCAATTAAGAAGATCAAGTCTGCTGAGACCTTTTGTATTCTTTTTTCGATTTGAGATACTTGTTTATCTTGATTTTGAGATTTAGCTGAAGTTATGAGACTTTTATATCTCTCTATCTCTCTGTTAAGTTGCTGTATAAAAACATCCTCTTCTAATCTTAGCCTTTTTGATTTTTCAGAATTAATTTTTTGTTCTTTCCATTTTCTTAGTAATACTAGTCGTTCTGATGGATTTAGTCCGGCAATTTTGACTTCAAGGCTGCTATTGGGATCATTTTTGAGATTATTTGCATAATTATTAAAACAATCAATGACATCTGAGTAAATCTCTTGTTCATTTGACACCATCGATATCTTTAGTAGTTTTTTGATATATCTGTTAAACTCTTCGTGAATTTCCTGGATTGAAGAATTTGATTTTACTGAAGAAATCAATTTATTGATGATTTCTTTATATGCTTTGACTTGTTTTTCTTTCTCTTTTTCACAGAGTCTGTTAGTCAATAAATAAATAAACCTGTCTAATGAATCAGACATTTTTCAAAAATCAAAAATGAATAGATTTCCAATGGAAAGAATTTATAGAATGGTTTTATAATATCACAACTTGATTCATGACTCTGTTTTCAGAGCAAAATCTCAAAGAAATGTCACCGAGTGAGGTTTTATGTGAACTAGATCATGAACAACTTCAACTCGTTGTTCAGCGGTTAAAAAACAATTCCAGTCTAAATTAAATGAGGGAACAATTTATTTTGAAAAAATAATGTAGAATGACATTAAGGATATAGGAATTAAAAATTCATTTGTAGTTAGTATATAGTATGAAAGCTCTTTAAAAGATGAAATATTATTTACAGACATTTATCATTTCTTTTTCTTATTCTTATGACCATGAGCACTTGTAGTAAGAGAAAAGTTCACATTTTTCGGCACTACATTTTGAACCAGCTCTTGGATTTTCTGATAAACTGGGCCATTTTGATTTGGTGGAGTTTTTGTCCAAATTGCAAACATGTAGCCTGGTTTCTTTACAGCAACTGTAATACCGCATAATTCGTAATTTTTCTTGTGATCTTGGTTTTCTGAGAGTATTTTATCTATATCACCAATAATTGCATGAACAAGAAGCTTCTTCCATATCTCGTGAACGATTGTGCTATCTTGAATCACGAAATGATAGGAGCCACCCTTGGCGTTGTGTGGATCTTCCCAAGCTGGTTTTATATCGTCTGCAAAAAACGCAAGAGAAACCTGGTTGGTTTCATTGTAATGTAATTCATCAATATTAGGTAATGAATTAAAATAGTCGACAAATAATTCCAATGAATTTACGCTAATAATTGACTCAATTTCATAGACTTGTTTATCTAAGAATTTGCAAAATACGACCCAAAATCTCCACTTGTGATGGAGATTATGTGTCATGAGGGTTTCACGAGGCTTACTCATGATATTTGTTTCTATATTGAATAAAGTTTTCAAAAAAAAATTTTTTTTGAGGCGTTATGGCTCTTCAAAAAAATTGACTAATAAAGAATATTTTCCATAATATTGTATGTCCAAATTGATTATTTGTTATTCGAAAACCTAAAAATTTTGTAAATTCATAAGAATTAAATTAAATCGGACCATTTTTGATATATTTAACAAGTTTATGATGTGATAAATGAAATCCTCATGTTTTGATTTTTCGACTAATTATGGTAAAACAAATTTTTAAAATAAAAAATCTAGGAAATGAAAATCAAAATCAAGATTTTCGATAATTTTTGGAAAAATCTTAATATTTTAAATGAGTAAAAATGTTTATTTTTAGATATAGTAAATAAAATATTTATAATTAAGCTTTAAACTTATGAAATTAAAGAAATTTATTTTAAATTTTGGTAAAAAAGCAACATAAAAAGTAAGAAATAGAAAATTTTATTTTACAGTAATGAAATACATATGAATGAATAAAAGAAAAAAAATACAATATTAAAAAAACTTATTTCTTCCTCTTTAAATCAAGAGGAGGAAGTGTAAGTAATTCGAAATCAGAATCAGCGATATCCTTTCTTGTAAGTTTTGTCGAAGCGTTAAGAGGACCTTCATTAATTTGTGCTCTTTGGACATTTGTCTTTGCCCAAAGCTTTTCAGGGTCCTGGGCTGTTTCCGCTGTATTTTTGTTGATCTGTAACTTATTCTCGATTGCTTTTCTTTCCTTTCCGCGTGTAACTTCGAAATGTTTAACACGAATTTCAGTTTGAGCGTCGAAAGCTTTAAGCTCTTCCTTTTGTCTGTCAAGGATCTTAGTAAGAGCTTCGTCGTAGTCGTGCTGCATCTGGGCAAAGCTTTCCTTCTCTTCATGAGCTTTTTGCCTCTGATACTCTTTTGTAACAACGCTGGCTTCTTTAAAGCGGCACTGTACAGTCAATAGGTTGATTTGCTTCTTAAGTGACATAAGAGCGTTTGTTGGAGCGTTGTAATTCTTCAATTTAACGTCACTTGTCCATAATTGCTCGTTTTCTGTAATTTCCTTTTCATGCTGCTGCTCCAATTCAGCGCGCATCTTCTTTTCGGTGGCAAGAAGTTCTTTAAGTAAACGTTTCGAATCTTCATCGAATTTTTCAAGCTCTTTAACGATTTCTTGGTTCTTTTCTTGATTTTCTTGTTGAACCTTCTTCTGGAGTTCGTTCTTAGCAGCTTGGATTTGACATTCTTTGACATATTTAATGGCTTCGTTGCATTTATCTGATTTTTCGAAATTATGCTTGGCAGCAAGATTCTTTCGATCATTAGCTAACGCGTAAACGATATCATCATACGTTCCTTGTGATAAATCAAGTGGCAATTTCTTATTAAGGGCCTGCTCTTTGTATTTTTGAATTTCAGGGCCAGATTCAGGAATTTTGAAGATAGGCATGCTCCTTCTGAAGTTATTCATCCTTGGTGATGCCAAACGAGGCGAAACAGGAGCAGATGAATCAGAAGGCCTTCTGCGGGCTGCCAATGCAGCATCAGTTGAATTTCTGTAAAGACTTAAGCGTTCATCAGCATTGCTGTTAGAACGAGGCGATCTTGGTGAGTATGGCCTTCTTTGAGGAAATTCTCTTGCAGAATTGGGCCTTCCTCCCATTTGTAATGATCTCCTTGGTGATGGAGATCCATTTTCACTCATTCTTGGACTGTAGCACCTTCCAGAACCAGAGCTAGAGCGTGGACTTGGTGAAGATGTTTCTATTGGTGGTGGAACGGGAATTTGCTTACGACGTGGCGATTTTACTCCTGTTTGCTCTTCAGTTGGTGTTTCTGGAACGGGTTTGCTCTCTTCTGTTGAATTCTCCATTGTCAAATTAAATTTTTTTTGCTCAATTGTAACGATGTAAACACTTTAATTTACAACCTTTCAAATAATTAAATAAGATTTTCAGTGGACGATGTAAAGCTTACAATTCAATTTTTTGCATTTGGTCACACAAAAATAATGCTGTTGTTTTTCTCATTCATTTCTAAAAAGAAACAGATATTGTCCGCAACCTCAAAACATTCTTAATTATTCAAAATACCTCATTTTTTATTTCATCGACATTTGTAACCACCTCGTTCCGGCGAACTATTTCTAATATGAAATAGTTGTTAGTTGCTCATTCTGAATTAGTTGAATACAGTTCGAACAAGTTTAATATTAATTTACCTAAAATCAATGTTTCATTTAAAGAAGCTGTAATCTGCATCATTAATCCTTATCCTAACTATATTCAATTGTTGCTATAAATGGCCAAAGAATACATTTTAATTTCCAATAATTTTGAAATTTTAGTAAAAAAGCTTTAATTGAACTCGTTCTACTTCGTATCATTTGCTTTTATTCTATGACTTTAAAATCACAATACTGTAATGAATATATACTATTTTTGCATGATTTTGATAAGAAATTTGTTGAAATTTTGGGAAAATTTTGATGCCATCAATAATATGTCGCGAGAACACACTTCGAGCATTATTCATAAACAAATCTTATTTCGATACATTCAAATTGATCCATTTCTGACAAAATCATTAGATAACTAAAAATGGCTGATCAGACGAATCATTTGATGCGCCCACAAGAATATTATGGACCACTATTCAACGATATATTAAGTAATGATGCGTTGTTTGGTCCAGGGTGTTTATTTGGAGATTCCAAAGATTTTTTAGACGGAATTCCTAGAAAACCAATATCGGAAATTCTGGAAGCGTATAAAAGTGTTGACAAAACTAATCTCGATGCAGTAAAATCATTTTTAACAGAAAATTTCATATATAATGCTTCTGCTGCAGGCGATTTTGATGATAAGAGTGATATTAGGACACATATCAAGAAATTATGGAAAGTATTACACAGAAATCCTGATTCTGATAATATGTGAACTCTTATTCCATTAAAATACGATTATTTTGTTCCTGGAGGAAGATTCCGCGAAATTTACTACTGGGATAGCTATTTCAGCATGCTTGGCATGATGATTGACCAAGAATTTCAACTTGCAGAAAATTTAGTTAAATGCTTCGCCAAAGTCATTGATGAAGTTGGCTTCATACCAAATGGAAGCAGAACATACTACTTAGGCCGTTCTCAGCCTCCTTTCTTCTCTTTCATGGTCGAACTTTTAGCAACAAAATATCCAGACTCTTTACAGAAGTTCTTACCACAATTAGAGAAGGAATACAAATTCTGGATGGAAACAGAAGGAAAAACAGTAACAATGAAAGATGGCGAAGTATTAAACAGATATTTTGATAAATTCTCTACTCCAAGAGAAGAAATGTACAGGAATGATCTTGAATGAGGAAAGGATCTTCCAGATGCTTCCAAATTGTACAGAGATTTAAGATCTGCTGCAGAATCAGGTTGGGACTTCTCTAGCCGTTGGCTTGCAGATGGGAAGTCATTAGATACAATCTATACAACAGATATCATTCCTGTAGACTTGAATTCTTTACTTTACCACTTAGAAATTTTATTAGAAAGAGCTTACTCAGAAAAGTTCAAAACAACATCATCCAATGATGACAAGTCCAAAGAGGAATATTACAGAAACCAAGCAGCAAAGAGAAAAGCTGCAATTCTGAAATATTTCTGGGATTCAGAAAAAGAATACTTCTTTGACTACGACATGAATAAGCAACATCTTAGAGACATTTATTCTCTTGCTGGTGTTTATCCTTTGTATACAAACGTTGCAACACCTGATCAAGCTCAAAAAGTCGAGAAAAAGATCAAATCAGACTTCCTACGCAAGGGAGGTGTTGTTTCAACCTTGTATCAGACCGGGCAACAATGAGATCTTCCTAATGGCTGAGCTCCTTTACAATGGATTACTTTTACGGCCATGAAAAACTATTCATTGAATTCTACGGCCAATGAGATCAAAAACCGTTGGACTTCAATGGTTAAAAACGTTTACGAAAACACATTTAAATTATTAGAGAAATATAACGTTGTAGAAGCCGGAAATACAGGTGGTGGTGAATATCCGAACCAAGATGGCTTTGGATGGACCAATGGTGTTTATTGCGCGTTCGATGAAGAAAAAGATCTTTAATATTTATATTTTTGATTAATAAAGAATATTTTTAGTACATATATTTTAGTTTGTACATATTCCACCATATGATTTTTTATATTATTGTATATTTGATCACAATTTCTTCATTTTGATACGGTAACCATTCATAATTCAACGACTATATTCTTATATACCTTAATTTGGAAAGATACCTAAAAAACATATAAATTTCAATATTAGGAAATGTTTTCATTCTTTGTTGATGATGCGATTGATTCCACCAGCAAATTAGGTACTTAGAGTATCAGCTTAGTGTAATGGCTTTGTGTTCTCGAAAGCATTCTTTACATTATCGTCTACGGCGATATCAATTGGTAATTTCTTTTCCATGTTCCTGATTTGTGTGTTTGCGCCATACTCAATGAGTAATTTAACTGCGTCTGCTTTATATCTAGCTGCCTCATGCAAAGGAGTATTACCGAAATAAAATTAAAATGAATTTTGTTCTGTTGATCAACATGGGCGCCATTTTCAATTAAGAGTTTAATAATATCTATATTTGACTTAACAGCTGCATTATGTAATGGTGTATCTTCAAAAATTGAAATCGAATATGCCTATTTGTTGCATTTATAGCTGCACCTTTCTTAATAAGTACTTCACAAATGTCTAATTTATTATAATATGCTGCTACATGTAAAGGTGTGTCACCATGAAAGAATATAGAATTAAATAAATTGATGAATAACTCTGTTGACTGCATTTAATTGTTCACCATCCCTATTTAGGAGATCAATCACTTTTGCGGCGTCTCCATTTTTACAGAGATCAAATATTTCAGGATGTGACATTTGAAATAAATGAAATATCAATAAACAAGATGGTTCCAAAAATGTTTAATAACTTTAATACCTTTCATATGATAGCATTTCAAAATTTCGCATTGAATTCATAAAAATTTATGTAAATTCGCACTGAGGGAAATGAGTACGGGGAGGTTTTTTGTGATATGGAAAAATGTTCGTTGCTCAATTATCTCACTATTGGATGGACTTTTATCGAGCGAAATTTTGGCTGTAAAGACAATTCTGATATTGGTAACATGGTGATAAGAACAAATAGTCAGTTTGCATGGTTTATGATGAGATAATTTCGATTTAAAAAAAAACATAAAAATTGATTTTAATGAGCGATTATATTTGAATATGCTCTCCTAATTTGAAGGAACTGGTTAAATCATGAATTGATCATGAATAATTTTTTTTTCAAAATAACAATTATAATTTCATATTCATTATAAGTTGAAAATAAGGGTTTCGTTTTGCTAAAATTGTCACTTTTATAGCATATTTGTTTTTGGATGTTTTGCGAAACCAAAAAAAACTATGATATACAATGTGTGTGTAAAGAAAATACTTTATTTACTAGTTAAAAAATCATTTGGTATTGATCAAGTTTTTTTTTCTGGATAAGATATTATATGGATAATTGGATAGAAAATACAATTATATAATCTTGTACCTGGTTTAATTAAGCTAATTGTCATCAGAAACTTGTAATTTTTATGAATTTCAGATTTTCTTTTCATTACTGCTTTTCTTAATAGGTCAAGTTCTTATTTACGTTATAAAGTATGATATTTACAAATATCAAGTTATCATGTTTTTTGAGAAATTATGAGAAACAAACAAAAATGAAAAAGATAGGAATAGCAATGAATAGTGATGTGGGTATAGAAAATGTAAGAGATCTGAATGCAAAGCAATCAGTATTTAGGATATTGACCATAGTTTTCGAAAAAAATGCTGCATATTGAGCGAAAACTATGATTATATTATAAGGCTGTCATTTAAAGCATAATGAAACTATTCCCTTTTCATTTTAATCGAATAAGATAGTAAAGATTTTTGAATTAGCTAGAAACTGATGAGATGTTTTCACAAATCAGATTTTTAATCTCTATAATGCATAATTCACTCAATATCTCAATTTTGATATTGCGAGATATTTTTGCTATCGGTTTCGCAATTTTGACACAATAGCAAGAGGGTTCTATAAGCATTATTATCAACGTAGAATCTGAATATCATATCAGAAAATGTCGCAAATCTGACATTTACCCGACCAAATAGCAAAAATAATTGAATACTTTTCGCAAAAACTTTAAAAATCGATAAAAATATGAAATATAGATATTAAAGAGACTTTTTATATAATATTCATAAAGATTTTCCAAAAATATGATACCGCAAAATTAAAAAAGTGACGTCTTGAGTGGAGTCAAAGGTCGAAATTGCTAGCTAAATGTTTTTTTAGCGAAATTGCGTATTGTACGTTTTTTTCGCAAAACGAAACCCTTATTGAAAATATATCATAAAGACTTTATGAATGATAAATTCCTAAAAAACAAGTTAGTTTGTTTCTGAAAATAATAATAATAAAAACCAATTTAGACCCAATAATTTTTGGCGGGATAATTGAGATGTTTAACAAAAACAGAAAGGTGTCATTATTATCGATGACCAACAAGCAACTGACCTAGTCTGGATTACAATATTCGGTTCATCAAACCGCCAATTTGATGAATCAAGCCAAATTGTAACTGACCTAGTCTGGATTACAATATTCGGTTCATCAAACCGCCAATTTGATGAATCAAGCCAAATTGTAACAAACCAGTTGTTGATTGCATGGTATCATTCATCGAACTGCCAATTTGATGAATTACATTTCTTAGTCATCAAAATAGTGGTCATGTTACTATTTCAAGAGGAAAAAAAGTTCACAGTACAGTAAAAAGAGGAGAAAACAATTGTCGAAATAAACATGTATTTATATGTTGTTAAGTTAGAAAATAAGAGAGAGAAAGAGAAAAAAATAAACATAAAAATTAAAGATCATTAATGAACTGCGATGATTTTCTAGGTGGCAGTTGGCTTGTCCTTAGCTGAGGAACAGCCTGCCGACACCTGTAATTAGGTATATCTGCAGCATCGTAAGTACGGAGAACTTGATCTGTCGATTGACCACCAATAACCATATATGAAGCGAGGGAAAGATAATTTGCAGGTGGAGATCGCGAATTTTTAATTGATTCCAGGGGCTTGCTCTTTGGTAGATTTAACTGTAATTCTGAATATTGAACGGGCGAAGGAGATAAAATGTTTCGCGGGAGTGATCTCTTGGAGCCCCTTGTCTTGAGCGTATCATTCATTTTAATAAAATCGCTTAATTCTGCTCTTTCTGTCGGATTAACTTTTACAAGCCTCTTTATGATGGTATCGTACTCTGGGGAGACCTCACCAGCGTACTGTAAGGTTCCCGTGTTGATTTGTTGAAGGGTCGTAAAAACATTTTTGGTATTAAAGGGGATTTCACCCGTAAGAAAATAAGCTAGAATAATTCCGAGCGACCAGTTATCAGCCTTATAGTCAGGCTCGTATTCCGGAGCTATAAATTCTGGTGCAAGGAAAGAATAATCTAAAGGAGATGGATTGTGGACCATGACGTTCACATCATTTGTTGCAAGATATAAATCTGTAATAATGATGTTAGAGCCATTGTAGAAAAATAAATTGGTTGCGCGAATAAGATTTGGAGCCAAATGGTTTTGATGTAATAAATGATAGGTTCTAGCAAGAGCACACCACATTGCAAAAATTTTGTTGGGTCCGAGAGCCTTGATTTTCGGAGCTTCTTCGATTATATTGCCAGGATTAAGGTACTTTCTTAATAATAAAAGCTTATTATCGTATTCTAGGACTGCAAAGTAAGGAAGGATATATTTCTGATTTAAACTTCTGATGCGCTCGATCCTTTCTTTGAATTTTTGGACCTGCTCTTTGTTTCCAATACTTTCTTTTAATATTTCCTTGCAATAGACATAAGATCCTTTGTTGTTTTGAAGTACATAGGAAGAACCAAGATGTCCGCGGCCTAGGGGCCTTTTATATTGATAGCCTTCGGGAATAGTAAATCTTTGTTCCATTAGCACAAAAAAATTTGTTTAGAAAAAAAATTTTTTTTCGAAAAAAAAAGTTGAAGGGGAAAAAATTGTTCAATATGGTTTTGAATAATTTTTTTTTCTTCCTCATTAATTTTGTGACTATAATTAGGATAAATGCTTTAGATTAAAACAAAATTATGAAAGCCTGAAAAAAAGATATCAACATTTTCTTATTATGAAGGGGCCAGAGACTTTCAAATTTTAAACTGCTACTGAGAAATATTTGTGAAGGTACAGTCCCATAAATAACTTTTTTTGTGAGGTCATTACTATTTTTGAATACCCATTGAATGTAAATATTTGTCAATCATCATTAACTATTATTTGGTTGTTAAATTATTTCGATTTTTTCCTGACCATTTTCTTTCTGATATTTAATTTTTTTATGGAAATTTGGGAAAATAGTATTTGATTCGAAATCAGTAATTAATCGCATTCTTATTTTGAGGAGTAGTAAACTCTAATCTGACAAATCCTTTGTTGATATGATATTTCCTTCAGTCTTCCTACCCACCTTTTGACATTTGGTTATACTATTTTCACTTTATTCTCTGCATGATAAGATATATTCCAAATGAATATTCTAATGTTTAGTTTAATAAATCTGTTATTTGATAATGAAATCATCACTCTCAGCAACTTAAATATAAAGCTATACTGCATACTAAATTTAACAATAAATTTACAAGCTATTCCCTTCCAACAAATGCTATTAATTCTATCAATTTGAATTGATTCGTCAAAACTAAATAGTTTTAATGATTTTTGTGTTGATCTGAGAGCTTTTGCTAATCTTCAGAGAAAGAAGATTTGCGATGATTTTAAATTAGATGAGAAAGATATTTTCACGAAGATTATTCAGAACTTGCGAAAAATTTTCATCATTGTTAAAAAATAATCCTTTTTATTTTACAAAACATTAATGGCAGTAGATAGCTTGGCGTTATTTCTTGAATATATAAACATAATGAACTTTCTCTTTGTTATTAAGATTTTTAATAGAAACAGTATTCTGTAGTGTGAAGTACTTTGAGCTGATATCAATAAAATCCTTTCGTTGCTCAGGAGAACCTAAAGAAATACAAATGTATTGCTTTGTAGGAATAAGAACGTTTGAAATCTGCTTTATTGATTGTTCTATGTTCTCGTTAGCGTCTTCCATACAGTATAATGCATCGATAGTACCTTTGTCTACTACCATATCAAATTCATTTTCGGCAAACAATAAATTACGACAATCCATAACCTGGAATAATAGGTTATGGTCTTTGTAACGCTCTCGCATTTGTTCAATAACCGATGGCGAAATATCGATGCTTATTACATGTTTGATATCATTTTCAAGCATATCTGCACTCATAGGAGAGTTTCCACAGCCAATGTTAAGACATTTTTTAACGGGAAGTAATACAAAATCTTTGATTTGCGGATAAATTTCTGGCCAAGAGAGAAACCATTCATACAGTTCATTCTTTTCTTTGTAACGATCATCCTAGTAGTTTGATTTTCCGTAATCATTATCCGAAAAGAGACATTGGAATAAATTCATGATTATCGATTCTGGTGTAACCCTCTGGCGAGCGTCTTCATCTGCAAGCTGTTCTGATGGATCATATTCTTCGGAAGATGATAAGCTATCATTACAGTCTTGAATTTTTTCAGTACTCATTACAAAATGAATTGAAAATATTGTAAACAAAAATTTTCCATGATATCATTCACTAGTGTAGAATTATTAATTTTTTAGAACAAAATATTTTTGAAATAAAATCTGTCATTTTTTGTTTCCTCACTCATAATTTTTTCTGATTTTTTTTTGGAAAATATCTTAAACCAATATTCCAAAGCCAATTTAGACGAAGATTGCTGAACAGAAATTGACAGAACTCTTCAGTGAATCCAAAATCTCACAAGATTTCAACAGTTCTCTTCGATTTCCAAAAATAATGATTTACACATATTTTATTGAGATTTTATACTTCATTCATATATCCAACATTGCAAATTTTTTTCATAATTTTTGTTTAAGGATGCCCTCACCATGTCAGATTTTTTGTGCACGTAAAACTTTTGATATACTTAAATCTAGAATCTGGTATTCTGTCATATATATTAATTATTTATAAGCTACTAACTCTAATAATATTTCTGAATAATAATTGTTTTTCACGATAATCAGTTTTGATTTAAGGCCAAAATCGCACATAATCAAAATATCAATCCGTCACAATTTTTTAAATTCCAATGATATTCTACCATATTGATTATACGGATACAATATTAACATTCATGAAGTTATTAGATTAGGAAAATTGAATGAACCCCATTCAATTTTTTTGATTTTCCTCTCAATTTTATAAAGGATATAACTCAAGAACATGTAACATCAGGAATTGTTCAAATATTTGAGTAGAGTCATTCATTTTTGGATAAAAGTCTGACGGAACGATATTTTAAAAAAAGATCTAATATGAAGAAATTAAAAAATCTAATTTTATAAAAATAAAGGTTTATTCAACAGTATGCAAACCACAAAAAATTTGCATGCGAGAGAAAATTCTGGCATCAATGCTAGTAAACAATAACTATTATTCCGACCTCTGGATTTTTTTGAAAAAACGCGACAGACTTACCATCATGTTTTTTTTTGCATATTTGAACCGTGTCTATAGTATATAATATGAGTTTCATCCTGTTTTTTTTCCGATGAGTTTTTAAAATTTGATCAATCAAATATATTAATTTTTCACCAATGAAATACAATATTTTATAATTTAACATGAAATTATTGGTATCAACTCGATTATTTTAGAAATATAATTATGATTGCATATTGATCAAAGGTGACCAAACTATTTTTTGAAAGTCCGCCATAACTTTAATGGTACTATTTCAGCGTGTACAATGAATACAAAAATTCTAAGAGTGCCACATAAAATAGTACTTTAGACTTGAGTTAATGCTACCAAGCAAATGTTAAAAAGATGACTTTAGTGTTTTGATAATCAAAGATTAAAATCATTATTGTCTAAATCAATAATCATAACGACAGAAGTTAATGTTTTTTCATAAGTGCTTTAAATCCACTTTTAAAAGTATACCTCAAAAATCAAAATATCAAAAAAAAATTGGCCGATAGGTTTGGCTTTAATTTTTGTCTGCTTTTATGATTTGATATGGATGTTATAATTTTAAAAGTTGAGCCAAATTCACCAATAGATTTTTGAGATTTGCAAATACTCAATAATTTTCAGCGTGTTATCTTTTATTAAAAGAACTATTTGGTTTCAGTATCATATAAATTGATATTTACTTTCTATTTGAACCTTCATTTAGCTAATGATTTAATAATACAGATTTCATCTAGTCCTTATAAGAGAATTTTGAATTTGTTATAATAAAAAAAAACAAACAGATATAGCTTACACTTCTATAATAAAGATACCTTTTATAGAAATCAGTATGAAATGTGTTTTGGCTTATTGGAAGCATATCAGACATAATCGCCATAATCAAAAAATCTATATACCCAATAAGTAATAAATTTGTCGATATAGATTTTCCATAAAATTAGTTTTTAGTCTGATCTTAAAATAAATTTAATTTTTTATAAAAAAAATCACATTTAAAAGTACCTTTTTAGTAGCTCGAAATCCTGTTGGTGGATTTCGGGCGTACTTCAAAATTAGCTTTTCTTCTACATATGCAAGCTATATTTTAAATATGGGGCAAATCGGATCGGCGAAAGGAGTTTAGTTACCTTTTATTGATCTAACAATTCATGGAAAAATCTCCGGATTTTTGGAACACAGCTTTACGATATGGTACCTAAACTAAGTCGAACAACATAGTTAACAAAAGACATTGCTGTGTCCCATATCTTGCTTTGTTTGGAAATTGTAAACGGTAATCCAAAAAAGTGCTGTGCATTCTAGTGTAAGTAGAGAAAATTTCATAATTATTGTGAAATAATAATATTTACTTACAACTCAAGTTTATTTTAGTAGAAATAAGGGGAAATTTTATTCTAAAGTACTCACAAAATCTAGATTGAGAGGCGGTCAATGACTTTTGAGGGGAAATTAACGCATGGAATTTAATATTATTTAGGTTGATATTCTTGCTTATTATTTCAGAAAAAAATCTTAAAAATTTCAATATGAAAATTGAAAGCAATTCAAAAAAATTGCTAACATGTAAATTTTAATATCCTATGCATAATTTCATATTTTGAACATTTTTTATTTTTGTTTAAAACTTAAAATTTTGCGAATTTAATATAATTTATAAAATATAATACGTATATATATTTAAAATACACTAAATTTAATTGTTAATTGACGTTGTTGGGAATGAATTTTATCAAAACATGCCTGAATCCGAAAATTTGAAAGAACGAATTACACAATCATATATGTAGAATTCAAAATACAAACTTAAAGATTGTATACGTTTAAAATTATTCAGATTGTGTTTGATTTCCACTCATTCTGTTTCTTTTGAACTCTAACACTAACATTTCATGATGATTACATGATCCATTTATACATGGTTGAATTGTTCCAGATTCTACCAGAAAATCAATCCAAATTTCTCAATGCATTCATGTTGATTGGACAAAATTTAAAATTTATCAGCCTGTTTCCAGAGAAACTCATATATTCCCTAATGAAATGTAATTTTTGCTACATTTATTTCAATCAAATTTCAAAAAATTGACTGCAGAGCTTGAAAAGGTGACGAATCATGTTGTTATTAGATGTACATATTAGATTTACTATTTCCAAAAAAATGCTCAAATTTGAATAGTTTTTAGAAAATTTGGAATTACACTCCTTACATTATATATAATTAAATGTTTAAATTTTATTTATTTTTCCCTTTTAATTTTATAACGTGCTCTATCAAAACTAACCTCTCAATTGAAGGCCACAAAATCTAAGTAGTGAGGGTACACAAATTTTGTATGGAGTACGGTTCAATTTTTGAGAGCCTCACTACTTAGATTTTGTGACTACCTTATTTTTAAATTTTTACACTTTTGAATACTCTTCAGAATTTCTTTGAAAATTTAAAACTCATTCAACTCTACATAGAAAGCGATCTAGAGCCCCAAAGTTTTACTACAATAATAATCATATATTTCAAGTATTTTTATGGAATGTAAGGGCATCCTTAAACAAATTAAATCAGATTTTTTCAACAGACAAAGTTTTCGATTTCTTGATCCCTGTTTGTTGCGCAAATGTTCAGTTTTTGAATGATATCTACAATGAAATTGTTCTTTATTCAAGCAACTCTAACGAATGCTATTTACACATCTACATGCGTTTGTTAGTTGGAGTTTTATCATCAAAGAAACTGAAATTAGCTTGGGGAGGGGAAGATTCAATCAAAACAACAATGGGATTCTTCTCTAACTGCTTCTATTTCATCTTCTTCATTCCTTCGTTCGATCCCTACTACTACATGCCAAATACAAAGGCATTTAATACTCAAAACAAGACAAAAACTGCTTATCAATTCGTTTTCGACGTTTTGCCTCCTTGGAGTGATGATGAATCCTTCAAAGATTTATCAGAACAAGAAAGAAGAAAAGCAAGAGCAATGAAGTTCGTCAATTTGCACATGCAAGCTCTTGAAAGTTATTAAGTTTCTGCAAACCTTCATAAATGGATTGACTTGATTTTCGGTCCGAAATCCCGTGGTGAAGAAGCAGTAAATGCAAATAATACTTACCATCCATATTATTTCAATGAATCTTTGACAGAACAAATTAAAAATGATCCAATTGAGTTCAAGATGATCAAAGAATACGCAGCATGTTTCGGAACAGCCCCAGTGCAGCTATTCTTCGAAACTCCGAAGCCGAAAGAAGCTTTGTTTTCTCCTTTGTCAAAGAATATGTTCAAATTCGTTGATAGAAAGAAATTATCAAAAGACAAGATTATCTGTATCAAATCAACGAAATCTCATATTGCTTATGCATCAAAGGATGGATAGATCTCTGTCTTCAATGTATATGATCAGTCCAAATCGATGACATTCAAATTTAACATCAGAAACAAATTGAAATTTGGCAGTTTTTGTGGAAATTTGCTTTGTACGGCAACTAAAAACGACACTGCCGTTATTTGCTATGATTTCACATCTTCAATGGATCCTTTATTCACTTCCAGACTCCATTTAGACCAGATAACTTGCTTGTCTTGCAGTGGAGAGTATTTTGCGACAGGAAGCAAAGACATGACAATAAGAATTTGGAAAACAATTTTCTCTTCGAAGACTCCTGTTTTAGATGGTTCCTTCACTCTCCACACATCAGAAATTGCTGCAATTGACTGCAATGTCAAAGCTGATTTGTGCGTTTCTGTTGGAATTGATGGGAAGATCATCGCATTGCAGTTGTCGAATTCACAATTCACTCGAAGTAATAAAATAGAAACAATTGCAAGGCCTTCTTTCGTTTCAGTTGTTGACAATGGATTTTTTGCAATGCTGACAAATGTTGCTGGACAATGTTTATTTAATGTTTTTGATGAAAATCTTTGAGAAGTTACAACAAAGAAAGCTTCTCTGACAATTGTTTGCTTGTGCCGGACTGTACTTCCAAATGGTCAAGCAGTTTTGATGTGCGGAACAAGTAACAACAGAATTTCTATCTTTTCTCTTCCTTTCGTTAAAGAACTCTGCTACTTCGAAACAGAAAACCAGATTATAGCAATATCTTACAACAAAGTGTTAATGCATATATTGGCTGGAACAAGAGACGGTGAATTAGTTACTTATAAGATTTCTAATTTTAGAAACATACCATAAAATTTTTATCTTTTTATCTTTTTATATATAGTAAAACTGATATTATATTTATTTTAACTATAATCTTTTATCATTAATTTTATTGAAATCAGTTTTTAAATAACTCACTTGTAAGACTATATCATAATAAAATATCCACATAATTAATCTTGGCATGATTTTATTTGAGTAAATCTCCAAATTTAGTTTTATATTATATATTCAAACATATCTTTAAAAGATATCAAAAATAATAAGGCTAATAAAAAATTTTAGATATCAAACATTGTAGGAAGCGAAGATGTTTTGATTAATATGTTCTCATAAATCCTTTCTAGTTTTTCATCAGAAATATTGATCAATGGATCCAAATTAGGCGTTGAGGAGCATTCTTTCAAAGTTATGAAAGAAACTTTGGTATTGTTCATGTTTTTGAGTAGTGTCTTCAGAGGATCAATAGCATTAGAATTAAATCCACATAATACCCAGTATGCTTCCTGCTTGACTAATCTTCTGATATGATCATCTAATCTCTGTTGTTGGGTCATTTTTTCTCCATCAAATTTATAATTATCAAAATCAACTGTTGAATCATTAGAAGGTTTCTTATGGAAATCTGGATGATGTGTTCCATCACCTGGGATGAAGAAAGTAATTTTTGTAGAATCCTTTCTGAAATTGAGATTCAAATAGGCTTCGAAAGCCGAGTTCCAGTCTTTAGGACCATCTCCTATTCCTCCTTCATAAGAGAAATTATAATTGATCTCGTCCAATATCTTATCAGCCTTCGATATAGGAGTAAAATCAATTACATCAGTACGGTTGATCTCAATATCTTTGTTTAAGCAATAAGCTGCGGCTTCGTTTCTGAAACCAATGACTGCAACACGAACATCACCTTGGAATTTTTGTAACCACTTCATAGCGCTTTCTATCTGATAGTTGATTAAACTCTTGATCTTTTCAGCTGATTTAGTTGCATCGAAAATGAATGTCAAATCGACTGGTTTCACGAGTTTATTTTGAACAATTGGTATTTGTATTGGAATGTTTGGTTCTTTAAATGCTGGAACTGGTTCAGCATCTGTGTAGTCTCCTTGCTCTGCAACCCTTCTCGCTTTGTTGACAAGACCGACTGCCATGTTTCTTGCTAATCTCTTGGCGCCTTCTGGGTTCAACGCTCTGAAAATTCTTGAAGAAGCGCCGTCAATGATGATGTCACCTTCATTAGAATTCTTTGGGGAAACATAATAACATCCTGTAACCAACTCTTTGTCAGTGCCAAGTGAAAATGGTTTGAATGGCTTGATACGTTCGCATATTTCTTGGTAGTTATGGCAACCTGGGACTTTTACGCCTGCAATTGTTTGTCCTGCGTACAACCCAAGGACATTATATCCATAGAACTGATAATCGTAATATGGATATTCTTTGATTTCTTCTGAATCAAATGTCATCTCTTTGAAACTGTTTGGAGTTGCGCGTTGAAGAACATCGTTCTTTGGACTGCAGCTTCCATCGAATCTCAAATTGCAAGGTATTTTTGTTGGATTTCCATCCACCTTGTCACAGTCATACACTTCAAGATGTTCTAAGTAATAATCCAATTCAAAAGTGAAATCTTGGTCGGCCCAGAATGAAACCGCACCACCTTTCTTCCTGAACTCTTCAACAGACTCAACAAACTGATAAGCATGGGAGAAATCAGTTGATTCGCCTCTGATTTCACCTGATCTCTTCTTGATACTATTGCAAACATCGACGTTTGTTGGTTTGGCTTCTTGTCCTTTAGAACAAATTACCCAGACCTGATGATAATTGCCTGATGTAATTTCTGCAATACAATCACAATAATTCTGAGCAACTTCGACATGGAAACCAAGTTTATATAATTCCTCGATAATTCCATTATAATCCAATGCACTAGATGAGGCATAAGTATCAGCAATGTATAGATTTTTAACATCGAACGTGTCTGGGATTCTATTTCTTCGGTATACTTTATAAAATTGATTGAGTTTATCTTCTCGCATTATTTCTGGTATTTCAGCTTGTTGATTTTGTGTTCCAGCTTGTTGATTTTGTGTTCCAGCTTGTTTATTTGATCTCCAAGCTGGTTTATTTGATCTTCAAGCTGGTTTATTTGATCTTCCAGCTTGTTTATTTGATCTTCCAGCTTGTTGATTTTGTGTTCCAGCTTGTTGATTTTGTGCATTTGATGTTTCTTTTGTTACATCCATAGAGTTGCAAGTAAAATCGTAGAGTTGGCAAATGAGGATGTTATAATTCCATTTTTTGTTACGGCCGAGATCTACTTCAGGGATTTCTCCTTGGTAAGGACCGTATTCATTTTCCTCTTCTGTTGGTAAATGTACAAGATCAGTACCTTCAATCATATAATGGTCAGCTGCTGCATCATACATCTTGATATCATCCAATCCAATTGTGAGTTCTGTGAAGTACTTTCTATTATTGTTAATAAACATATTGTAGATGTCTTCAATTGAATATTTGTTTAGGGGATATGGATTTGTGATTTTTCCTTCTGTTATGACTTTGTTTGTATCTAATTCTGACAATTTCATGAAGCAATTTCCAATTTTTAGAGGATTACCAGACCAGATAGATCTGTTGAAAACTTTAGAGATCATAATAGGAGAAATTCCAACTCCCACACCGATGGAATATGTCTTCACTAACTGCAAATATGATAAGCATGTTACAACAGCATCTGATTCTATTTGATTGAAATGGGCATTTGTTATTGCAATCAAAATAGATTCTTGTTCCTGTTGCGAGCATCGTATATTGTATGCAGCTGTTAATGCCTGGGAGAAACTGCATGCACCATGTGATGAATCTAAACATCTGTAAATCTCCGTGAGAACTGGTGAATTTTCTTTGAATATTTCCTTATCAATCTTGTTGATGCAAACTGCAACTGGTCCTTCGGAAGTAGCAAGGATGATTGTTATTGGGAATCCACAATCTCTGAATGCCATCAATGTAGAGAAAACAGTGAGACGTGTGTATTCCAATGAGAGTAATCCAGTGGAACAGTTGATAATTCCTTAGCATCTTTTAATTTGTATTCTTTGGCCATTGCTGTATTTAATGATGGAAGATATTTTCCATCAGTTTCGTGTAATTTCTGGAAGTTTTCTCTATTTTGTTTGTCAAGAATTTCATTTTCAAAGTTATTTGATTCCAATGTTTCATTGACTTTCAAAACAAACATGTTTCTCCATTTGAATTGTTTTCCAGTAATTCTGATTTCAATATTTGATTGTTCATTAATATCAGCTGCAATTGAATTCATTTCGAATTCAATTTCGACACTGGATTCCGGAACATCAAATTGAGTAATTATCTTTAGATTATTAATACTTACATCGTCTGTCGATATAACATAAACATTAGGATTATCATTGGATCTCAATAAGAAACAAACAAGGAATTTATACTTCAAAGGCTTTGTACTGATTTGAATTTCTTTGATTTGATCTGAGAAATCTGTATAAGGGGACAAAACATTGAACAAAACATTCTTATTTTGTATTGAATCAGGAGTATTAATTCTGATATATGAATCATTGGCTGCTGAATGATACAAATTGAAAGCAGCTCCATAAATTTTAGTTTCATTTGCATATAGTTTCCGTAATTCGATTGTATTGTCATCTAATGGAATGAATGGACTAGTCTTTATTCTTGAAACTTGATTTTGTATCAGTATCTTTTGCTTTGGATGGTCAACACCAGGAATTGTTGGTATGAATGAGATACTATCTTCTGCGATAAGATCTTTTTCAAATTTAAATCCATTTTGAGGAATGAAAGAGTTTCCAGGAGAATCTATTAAAATGGCGGAATCAATGAAATGTGCATCAACTTGGTAAGTAACAATTGTTGAGTTAATATTCATTGTTCCTGTGAAAGAGATGTCTTTTATTATGCCATTAATTGGGAACAATAAATCAATCTGAGACTCTTTAACTTCATAAGTTGGAATTGGAGTATTTTCGGATTTTGGAGTAAATTCGATTTTGACTTTTGATACATCTCCTAAAATGTAGATTGGAATACGAATTGGAGTTGTTTGAATGCATCTTAATATACCAGGAACATCAGCTTTAAGAGCACTAAATGAAGGAATGACAGTGTCTCCTTGAAAATTGATTGCTGCAATGCTGAAAACAGATTCGTTTGCATCTGTGAAATCAACTGAAATTGAACTTGTATCAATCATTTCGAGATTTGGTTTACATATTTGTTCATTTAGAAGATCATTATTCGGATTTTCAACTGTTTCAATTTGGGATAGAATTGACTGATGCTCATTTACATAATTATCATGATCTTTAATAATTCCTTCCAGATCATTTACTATTTTAAGTGCATTATCTGGTGTTACATTTGGATTTGCGCTGAATTTTGGAAGCAGGTACTTCTTAAATTCATCTAAATAACAGATATATGGTTGGATGTATTCAAATGATTCTCTTAAATCATCAACTGTGTATTCCTCATTATTATATTCAAAGATTACTTCTGATTCTGGACCAAGATATTTATATAAATCATTGGGATGATTTGCTAATTCATCATTCAATTGTTTCCATTTTGAAATAATATCGTCAACACTGATTTTTTCTTGCAATAATTCGGTATTTTTAGAAACCTTTACTTTGAGTAATTCAAATGGACTTGGAATTTCAATTTCGTCAATGAACACTTCTGGAACATAAATAAATGTCTGGCAGTTTTCTTTGAAAATGAAGTTAACCTGAATTTCTGGATCGTCTTTGTTTGTGAACAAGATATTGTCACTTATCTGATTATTGATATAGATCAATGCAATTTCGGTTTCATATTCTGCGGGATCTTCATCATCTAATCATTTCAAGAACTCGTATAACTTAGAGGCATCAAAAAATTCTGTAATTTCTGTTGGATCTTCATACCAATCGAACTCTGTAATTTTGTCCAAAATTGACCACATGCAGCTTGAATAGATCTCATAGTAGTTAATGGCAGAATAGTTAGTTCTCAAAAATGTGATTGGATCTTTATACATAACTGCAGTTTCAAGATCAGACAGTAAGCTTTGAATCTTATATTCTTTTTGTTTTATTGTTTCTTTCAATTTTTCAATCTCTGAATTAGCGTAATTCATGAAAAATCCAACTGGATTCAAAAGGAGAGATGATTGATTCTGAATAAATGAATTCCATTTTTCTTCTGTCAAAGGTTTGCATAGTTTCAAACAATTATCCAAGTATTGTTTGAAGAATTTATTGATTTTGATTACATATTCAGAATCGTTCGAATATGTTGCTGCTTGGACAATCGAGTCATGCAACAAGGAAGTGAAGAATTTCTTGAAACAATATGGCGGATCTGACAATGATAATGAAACAATGATTGATTTCTTATTTTCATTTTCAGCCAACAAACTTTGTAACTTTTTATTGATGACTACTTTCATTTCAGTTGTAAGTTTGTCCGATTCGAAAGTGATTTGATTGATAGAAGATACAATTCTAAGCATGAACAAACCAAATGTTAAATTCTTCTTTGATTTGTCAATGAGATTTAAGAAATCAGGGTTTTTGATTAAGAACAAACCTTGCGCTGGGAACTTATCTACATATTCTTCTTCAATGTATTCACTATGAATGCAATCTATAGCATCTAAATATTTTGTGTTTACTGTTTGAGTCAAATTCATATAAAGTGAATTGTCGGAAAATTGATCTGCCAGTTCTTTAATATCTTTGAAGATTTTGTTGAATTTCTTGGAACAGAAATCAAGAATAATTGCTTTGGGATACTCTGGAAATCTTATTGGTAAGTTTATGTCATACTTTCTATTGTTCTTGACAATGTAATTATTCCATGCATTATTAATTGTCTTTATCTTGTTAGTGTAAGAATTGAGCTTGGAAATTAGTTTATTAACATCGATCAATTGTTTATCAACTGAATACATTTGGTTTAAGTATTTGTCATAAATTTTAAGAAGAATTTCATTGGAATCTTCTTCACTTAATTTGATTGAAGAATTTTCGTATTTCTTTAAGAATTTTCCAACATCATAATCGCGTTTATACAACTCTAAAAGACTTGAAATACAACGATCTTTGGTCGAAAGATTTTCGTAATTGTTCATATCAGATGAGAAATCCATTAAAATTTCAAATCATTTAATGTCTTCATTATCGGGATCGATATTTGTAACATATGATTGAAGTTTATCATATGAGCGCGGCTTGTTTAACTTGACTTGTTTGATTATTTCTTCTTGATTATTAATTATCGGAACCCATACCAACTTTCGAGTCAATTCAAACAAATCTGATAATTCTGGATCGTTGTGATTGTACCAATTCCTTTCATCTTCTGTATTGATAATTCTTTCATTGAATGTATTCTGGAACTTTTTAAGCAAATTTGAAAATGAAAATGAAGACATCGGGATTTCTTTAGCAATTATTTTCATTATTTCAATGATATTTGATAAGTCAGTTGATGATAGAGAATTAGCAACTTCATCGACAACAATTGTCTGCGATGGCAAAAATCCAAATGACATAAATATTGAAATCAAATCATAAAACTTTGAAAGCAAATTATAATCACAGGATGAAAATGATAAGTTGCCTTCTTCAAAAAGAGGCTTATATAGTTCATTAAAGCAATCAGAAATTGAATCAATTCCATCAACATTGAAATACAAATTTGGATAGCGGAAAATATCATTCTTGTTTTCATCAGTAACTAATTTTGGATCAATTTTTTCTTTAGCGAAATGCTCTGGTAAAACCTTTCCATATGTCGGATATGTTTTAGAAAAGAATAGAATGTCATTCCGAACGCCTTCCAACGTGCTATCAGAAGATTGACTTGAAAGCAAAGTTCCCAAATCTCGTGCTTTGATACTCTCATCCATATCTGTGATTTTTTCCAATAAATTAATCATCCTTTGTAAGTAAAGCTTATCAATGTACCAGTTTGGTTTTTTAACATTCTCGAATTCCATTTTTAACATATCTTTCATTTTGACAACAGTATCTTTTTTGATTAATTGAATTTTAGTATGCTGAAGTATTGAATAAAGACCGATAATAGGTTTGTCATTTGTGATAGCTTCTTCAATTAAAGCATCCAATTTTTTCATATCAATATCAATGGCCACGTTTTCATTTATTTTTGTCAATTTATCGATAAGATCTGAATCTACTTCTTTATCGAAAGCATCGATAGTGTCTTGATTATATTGACTACTGTCGATTTCGCTGATCTTTTTATTGTATGCTGGGATCAATGCACTCATGATTTGAGAGTATTCAATTGGTTGTTCTTTACAATTATTTATAGATATGAATATTCTAGATAAGGATCTACCTGTCAATTCATTATGTTTCTCTCGCATTTCGAAATGACAACGGCCGATTTTAGCAGCAACTGTTATTCTGTCTGTTTCAGTACCGTTATTTAATTTATATTTCTTATCTGGTAATTGTAACAGTGAAATTGTTGCGATTGTTTGGATATCATTATCAATTGGTTCCATCTTAAGAATTGCACATCTAGAAAGAATTGTTTGTGGAAGACGAGTCTTTCTATGTGCTCCAACATTGTTATATGCAAATATCACTCTAAACTTATCATTGATCTTAATTTTTGATTCGAATGAATTAGATGAATAAGTAATGCCTTCATCGACTTCATACAAATTCAAGGATGGCTTGAAATCAAGCAAAGTGATAAATCTTTCCCAGCTATGATTTTCTTTTTATCAATTTTCAAAATCGAAGCAGTTCCAGAAGGCTCGATAGTAATTTCAATTTTCTCCCATGGATGATTGACTCTTTGGCTGATCTTTCGTTCAACTGAAGTGATTTCTCTTAATAAATAATTGAATTGTTTCGTGTCTAAATATTTATCTAATTTGGAATACAATTCACAATTTCTTGTGTTATTTAATTCAAAGTTTTTAACAATGTCATCAACATTTTTGCATACTTCCTTCATTTCATTTTGATCGTATTGATCTCGCTTGAAGTAAATTGATGATTTCTTAAGTGATTGTGGAACTTTTCCTGAAGCAATTCCAATAATGGAAAATCTTCCTTTCTTCTCTGTTTCACCATTTGTCTTCATGATCATTGATTCTGGATTATTGTCAAATAAACATGTTAAAGCATCAACTAGGCTTGGTGATGCGAGATTCAATTCTTCAATGATGATTAATGATTTAACTTATGATTTTTCACTGACAGCATTGAAAAGTTTTGTCGGAATGTAATCGAAAGTATTGCTTTCATTATCATTTTTAATTGAATATCTTCCAAACAAATCTTCAACTGTTGTTGATCCAGATAATTGGATTCTGATAACATTTTGCTTATTAGCGAAATCCTGCATCAAATTGGCAACATAATCAGCAACTAATGACTTCCCTGTTCCTGATGGTCCACGAATAATGATTGGAATATCGAGCGACAAAGCAGAGAAGATTCTGTCACACATTGTTTGAGTTGTTTTAGTGAAAACAATGTTTGTTTTCGTCAGATCAGATGAAGAAAATGAAAGGATATAATCATTATCGGATTTCAAGATACCATTTTCTAGTTTCAAAGGTGTTATGCCGTTTTGACGTTCAGGATCTTCTTTACCTACAATTCTTGCTGCTTGTTCTTCCAATATCTCTCTTGGAATTTCTTCTGAAGTGTTGCGATCCCTACTGTGGATTGTTTTGATTTTTTCAATGATTGATTTCATTAGAATCAATTTATGGAAATCAAATTTCTCAACATAATTATCGGAGAATCCTGTGATTTCTTGTACTTCTTTATTAGTGTATTTCTTGACCGTAATGATGTTGAATCTTGATTTAATTGCCTCAGAAATCTTGTTGATGTCTTCTAAAGAGCACAAAGCAATTATTCTAAACTTTGTCTTCATATCACTACTTATCTTAATAAGTTTATCATTTTGTGGAGTAATTGTATTTGTGTAATCTTCTGTTAATGTTAATTCTGGCTCAATTGAAAGCAATTCGTTGAATCTTTCAATGACAGATGTTGGTGGCTTGGCAAAGTTCTTTATGATTATAGGAGATTGTCTATAAAGATAATGAGTAATTAATCCTGGTTTGAAGACTGTTGTTAGATTGGTAGAATGTTAACAAAGAAGAGCATGCTATATAAATCCTGAAGAATTTCAGATCATGTTTTGGATTTGATTCAACAATTCGAGTTCCATCATGATACTATGAAACTATGTATCTATCAACTTACTTGATCATAACTGATAGAGGTCAAGACCATAAATAATCGCTATATCCGACCTAATAAGATGATCATATTTTATCTAAAACTCATCTAACTTAAAATCGATTTTCCAATGAAGATTACAGAAGGATGGAAGCAAGCAATATAAATATCAAGAAACAATTTTTATCCTCAAATGACGTTCGATTTTGAATTCTAGGAAATCGATTTCCATTGTTATAATTTTCGAGTTTTTGTAAATGGATTATATTTACGATATCTATTCATCGTTTTCATAATATTGATCATCCGGTGATTTACAAAAACCGCAATTTTTTCGATGTCAACTCTTAAGGGCAAAGTTGTTCTTGTAGGCGATACAAGTGTCGGCAAAACAGCCATTGTCAACTGCTTCAACAGGCTCTCTATTGATGTTTCCCCAACAATTGGAGCTAATTCAATCACCTGCAATGTTAAACTTGATTCTGGCGAAACAGTACAATTAAACATATGGGATACAGCTGGCCAAGATGATTTCCAGTGCTTGGTTCCAATGTATGCTCGTTGCGCTCAAGTTGCTTTAGTTGTTTACGATCAAACACAACCATCAAGCTTCGCAAGCACTGAAAAGTGGATTGACCACATGAAGAATTCCGTCGGCGTACCAAATGTATTCCTTGTCGGTAACAAGATGGATCTTAATGAAGTTGTTGAAACCGAAAAGGCTATTGAGTTCGCAGAATCCCATCAAGTTAAGTTCTTTAGAACATCAGCTTTAAACGGTAATGGCGTTGATGATCTTTTCCAGGAAATTGCTATTGTTGTTAATACTCCAGAGAAACAATCTGAGGAAGTTCAACCTGTGTTCAAGACAGATGTTCACTTAGAAGAAACAAAGGATAAGAAGAAAACTGGATGCTGCTAAAAAAATTTTGAACTCTTAGTTATTGTGAAATAAATGGTTTGTATCAATCAAAGATGACAACTATATATCCTCGTTATACATTTTTTTTTATTTAAGTAAATAACTTTCAAAATTTTATAATTTTCTTTTTGTTTGCATTGTTTTCACCTAAAATGTGTTTTAGATTGTGAAGGTATTGAAACATTATCATTGAAAATTGGTCATTAGACTAATTGAGAGGTTTTTGTCGAGAAAAATTAGCTATATTATATCAGAAACAGTTCTTTGGAAGAAAGAATGTCAAGCTACTATGGCCGAGCGGTCTAAGGCGTTGGATTCAAGTCCCAATACCGCGAGGTTCCTGGGTTCGAACCCCAGTGGTAGCATTTTTGCTTTTTGAAAACTCATCCATTGGCGGAATTTAATGACTGATTTTTGATATCAATATTCATGTATCGATGCCACAAGGAATCAACACAACTAATTTGCAAATACCTATTATTTATTCTGCTCAGACCTTCTTTTAGAAAAACACAGGTTCCAACATCTCAACTCAAAAGAAAATCATTTACTTATTAGAAGAGTTGGAGTTATGCAAAAACATCATATGATAATGTCTTTAGGTTTGTCAAGTGAATTATACATCAAAATATTATATGTTACCCAATGGATGAGTTTTCAAAAAGCAAAAATGCTACCACTGGGGTTCGAACCCAGGAACCTCGCGGTATTGGGACTTGTATCCAACGCCTTAGACCGCTCGGCCATAGTAGCTTGACATTCTTTCTTCCAAAGAACTGTTTCTGATATAATATAGCTAATTTTTCTCGACAAAAACCTCTCAATTAGTCTAATGACCAATTTTCAATGATAATGTTTCAATACCTCTTAATTTATTTTCATTTAAATAAGTATAGCTCTCTATTCTATACTATTTTTCTCTGTTCCAATAAGTTTTGTCAAAAAACGTACTTATTACAATCCATAAAATGTTCTCAATTGTTGACGTTCCATTCTTACAGACAGGACTTGGCAATTTCTTATCTGCTCATGCAGTTAACATTCATGTTACAAAGCACCATCAAGCCTATGTCGATACTGCAAATAAATTAGTCCCAGAATCAGAATTTGCAGGTCAAACACTTGAACAAATTATCAAAACATCAACAGGAGCTATTTTCAACAACTGCTCTCAACATTTTAACCACTCTTTCTTCTGGATGTGCTTCAGTTATAACATTTCAAATCCGAGTGACAAAGTTTTGGACTTTTTCTCCAAAGCCTTTGGATCATTAGACAAATTCAAAGACACTTTTGTTAATAAAGCATCAACAATCTTCGGCTCTGGCTGGTGTTACCTTGTTTTGAAGCCAGATCAGACTGTTGAAATTATTCAATATTCAAACGCAAACAATCCAATCAAGGATGGATACTTCCCAATTCTTTGCATTGATACTTGGGAACATGCCTGGTATATTGACTACGAAAATAGAAAGGCTGAGTACTTCATGAGATTCTGGAACTACGTTAGCTGGGATTTCGTTGAGAGTCGCCTTCAATTAGCCAAAATCATTTAATTTGATAATTTTTTTTTCATATATCCATTAAAGAACTTATTTGTACAAACATCGATTCCTTTTAAGGAATGCAGATATTCTTTTTAGTTTTTTTAAATTATATTTTATATAATTTTTTTGAAAAATAGAAAAATTGAGAATAATTCGTTTATTATTTTTCATCCATTGCTTCTATTGATTTTAAATCTTAAGAAAATTCTTTCTAGCTACATAAATAAGAGAAAAATTAATGCATTAAAGTCTTATCCTGTAGAATTGGAAGATCATTTCAATTGTATTGAGATGTTATATCCATATTTTGACATAGTATATAGCTTGAACATGTTGTGCATGAAAATTCGGTTCACTTCACTTCTGACAAAAGTGACAAGTTTACATGGCAAAAATATATAGGGTATTTTTTTTTAAAAGTAGTTATCTTTGTAATGCATGAAAATTCAGTTCAATTCATTTTTGACACTTTACATATATCATATTGCAAAAAAGTTTTTAAAATATGATGTATGAATAAGAGTATGATTGGTATAGATTTGGGTTGTATAAATGTGATTGAACAATTGTTAATGGAAAGTTCAAAAACTTGGGTGCAATCAGTTCTGATTGCACCCAAGTTTTTGAACTTTGTATAAGGAATTGTTGGCTATGATGTACTGATCATGAATCAGTACATCATAGCCAACAATTCCTTCCCAAACAACCCGAAATTTGTCTGAATAGTTTAACATTCAGACAAAGTTTCCCGCTGTTTGCGAAGGAATTGTTGGCTATGATGTACTGATCATGAATCAGTACATCATAGCCAACAATTCCTTATACAAAGTTCAATTTTCATATTTCATGTATGTAACTCTCTAAAACTATAAATCTGATTTTCATTTGGCAGATCCACTTCTTGTCTTTCCATTTTTTTTGAATCAATTTATACAAATAAACTTATAAAACACAAAATTATTATTTTATAATATAATTCTTAGATAATACATCCGATATGTAAAGTGTCAAAAATGAAGTGAACCGAATTTTCATGCATTACAGTATATAGCTTGAACACATTAAAAAAAATATTATGGGGTTGATTTGGTGAAAGACCCCTCCGTTAATTCGATTTTTGTCTAATGAAACCACAGTGGCTTTTATTTAAAGAGAAGGAAGCAGCCAAAACTGGTATTTTAGACCTAAGTAAAGAATTCATTACAGATTTAAAGCTCATAAGGCCATCAAAAACAATTAAAGTTTTAAATTTAAGTTATTCAACAATAGAAAGCTTAGAAGGCTTACGAAAATTACCAAACATCGAAAAATTTATCGCAAACAATGCTGCAATTTCTTCATTAAAAGGTTTTGAAGCAATTTCAAATATTCGGTCAATTGAATTGCGCGATACTCCATTATCTAAAGAAAAATACTACAAGCTATCAATTGTTTTTGCATTTATGAATATAAGAACGATAGATAATAAAAAGATTCCAGATTCTCTTTATAAAAAGGCCGAAACATATCCTGAAGAGTGCATTGACTTGCTAAATCTCGGCTGGAAATTGGAGTACCCATGTCCTACCCATGAACAGCTCGAATCTCTACGTGATCAAACAGAAATCATTAACAGTCCCGTTAAAACAACAAAACCGAAACAAAATGACGAAAATGACTCTGATGATTTTACAGCGTTAGTTAAAAACGTTTTAAACAGACATGATAAAGTTGTTGAAAAAATTGACACAAAATTACAGAAATTATTTGATTCTTCGCCTGATTTGAATGAAGAAACAGAAAGTGTAGTTTCTGTACAGGAATCAGAGCAATTACAAGAATCCCAAGTCAAAGATCAAGAAATTATTTCATCTTTTGCTGAATCTTCAATTTCAAACTACCAGGCCAAGCCACTCAAAGAGCAGATCGTAGAATTACTCCAAGAATTCGGTTACAATCCTCTTTCATTAAAATCAAAAGATTTACTTGAACAAATAAGACAAATTTTAGCTTTATCAACAGAAAACCAATCCAATCATGATACAGAGCTTGAAATCAATGAAGAAGAGGAAGAAATCAAAGAAATTGAAGTTTCATCTCCAAAACAACAAAATATTCCTGTTCCAGTAGCCGAAGAAGACCTTCTCCAACCAGAAGAAGAGGAAGAAACAACTCAACTTGAGCGAGAAACAACTTCTCCTAAATTTGAAGATTCTATTGAGGAAGAAACACCAGAAAACGCAGAATTCAAAGAAGATCAAAACGAAGAATTCGAAAACGAGAACGTAACTTACGTATTTGGCGATGAAGAAGAAGATGGTTATTTAGAGCATCCAAACTTTGAAGAAGAAGACTTTGACATCGATGCAAATCTCGAGCAGCTTAATTCCAAGATTTCTGAGGTAAATAGCATCATCGCAGCCCTTACAGAAGAAGAAATTAATGAAGATGAATCCGAAAACGAATCAGATGGCCAAAACAAGGACCGGTAAATTTGTATATTTGTGTAGTTTAAATATTTGTTGATATTACTTTTGATTAGTAATTTTTTTTAATATGATTTCGTATTTTGATTTTTTTTATTGACCGTTTATTTGAAGTGAAATTGTAAACCGGCACTTTTCTTTTATAATGATTTTTCTTTTTTCCAAATTTTTATCAGCAGAAAATGAGAAAATTCCATTACATGCTAATCCAAACTTACCAAAATTATGGCATAAAAGAGAATTTGATGAATGCGATGGAATAAACACAATAATTGTAAATAAAACTTGCCAATGTATGCCAGGCTTTCCATTTGGTGATCCAAATAGTACACAAGGCTGTTATAAGTGCAATGATCAATGCAATAAGTTCGCTATTTGTGCTTTTCCAGGAAGATGTGTTTGCAAAAATGGTTACATAGGAGATGGCGTTAAAGAATGCATTGTCCCAGTTCCACGTTTAGATTCTTCTAATACATCATATATATTTACTCGTGGAGGCCAAAATACAACAATTTTAACAATTCCTTATAAGAATTTTCACCCTGACAAAGCATATTGCAAATTCGATGATCAAATTGTTAAAGCACATACAGTAACTAATACAACAATTATATGCTCTTCGCCGCCAATTCATGAAGGAATAATCAAAGTTTTTGCTTCTTACGATAACGTTACATGGACAGATGAAAACGCATTTGCCGAGTGTAGCTATGATGGTATCAAGGTATCTTTTAGCTTTATCTCCATTCTAATCGTGATTGGAATTATTATCGTTTTAATTTACATTTATGAGAAGCATATTAAACCAAAGAAGATCAAAACACCGTTACCAAGTATATTAGAGACAAACGGAATGGATGTTGTTCCTTTTTCAGAAAAATAATTTTTATTTTCATTGTTGTTGCTTAAAACTTGTTTTTATTTAGTACTGATATTTTATTGATTTTATGATTTGATGAATTTTGCAAAATTGAGATAGAATGCACGAAATTTGTGATAATCTATAATTTTAGAGTTACATCTCTGAATTATAAGAAAAACGAAACAAATACCATCTATATTTACGTAAATAATTGTCAAGAATGCGCCAAGTGATGATGTAATGTTAAAATAGAAGGATATATAACTGAGAAGCCGAATGTAAAATATCGCTTTTACTTAATGCTCAGTTCGGAGTGCTCAATTTTATATATATATCTGATCATTTTCATCTTTGAAAATACAAGAAAAAGAATGAAAAATAACTAATGAAAGTTCATTATTATTTGGCATCATGCAAAATAAAAAGTTCAACTGTTACTCTGCTACTATGAAATGATGCAATTTGATGTGCCGTTTATCCATTTTCATCTTTTTCACTGATACTCACACTGTTTGAAATAAGAAGATCAATTATTTTCATACTATTATTTTTTGCTGCATTATGAAGCACGGTACTACCATATACATTTTTTTTTCATTGACAAATACTTCATGTGAAATAATAAGTTCGGAAGTTTGCTATTACTAAAAAGTACTTCCATATGAATAGATGCCTGTTTATTTTCGTCATTTGCATTGAAATTTGCATCATGTGAAATTCATTATTAAAAAAAAATTATCGAAAATTCGTAGTAAAAAAGAAAATTTAAACTTTAGGTAATTTATGAACAACATTACGACCTTTTGAATATGCGTATACTGAAGCTGCAGCAAGAGCCAATATAGATACAGCAATGACAATTTTCCTTCCATTGTTGGATGCCGGCAAATCCTTTCCATCTTCAATTAGATCTGCATCATTTACAATTTTAACAACATCCCAGTCTCTGAATTTTTGAATTTTTTCAACAGCACTGAAATCATCTTTGATTTCAACTTGAAGAACATGTGCTGCACCAATGCATCCAAAATAGTATTCAAGATCGCTCATTCTAAGCAACATATTGTCCCAGATTAGAAGAGTTCCGTTAACTTCATGTTCATCAGAGAAAAACAATAATCTCCATCTCATTGAATAAGTGAATGCAAGAATATTGCCTTTAGACAATATTTTGTAAGTGTTTGGACAGTATTTTTGTACTTTATCTTCAAGAATGTCAAATCCTTCGTATGTTCCTGGATTTTCTATAATTTTTCTAAGATCTGCATTTGTTATTAGAGATAGGGCAAGATTGTAAGCAAAGGCCTCGGCATATATTGATTCAATTCCGATTTTTTCGCAGAATTTTAATGAAAGTGAGTATGAAATCAATAAAAACCTATCATATCCTTGTAAATATGCGAGGTCTGGATGCAAAATAGCAATGGCTGCAAGTATACGCTCTGGTATTAATTTACCTTCTGGATAGTGTTTGAAATCCGAAATTCCAAAATGTTTGCAATAATTAACTAGCAAAATATAACACCTTTTGATATCTCCTTCAATTGTGAATTTATCAGCTTTATTAATTTTCTCTAACGGAGTTTCATAATTTTCACCGAAAATTTCTTTCGAAATTTGGAAGTAGTTTGGAATCATATCGATTATCTGAAGCGAGTTTGAATCGGAGTCAAGAGAAATTACGTTCAATTTAAGTAGATATGCAAGAAAACGTTTGATTGGATCTTTATTAAGTTTCGCATCCTTTAAAAACCCATCAACTGATTTCATTGAATCAAAAGGCTTTAATAGCTCGGAAATTCTCTCTTGTGCGTTTTTAAATGCTTCAATATCAGGCAAAATCATTCAATTTTTTTTATATACGAGATAAAAGTGACGAAATCTTTTCAAAATTTTTGTGAACGTTTATAAAAAAATTTAAAAATGATGGAAGAAGAGCATACATGCAAATCAACAATGGTAATTGTTGATATGGAAGTTCTTCCATTATTAACAAACATATCTATCCTATTATTTTTAATTTTTTCAATAGATTTATACAGAGCAAATGATTATATCAATAATGTCCTCGCATATTGTACAGTTATCTTCTGGTATATTAGCGGCCTTGTCCAGTTCATTGCATACGGTAGAGTTACAGGCGGTTGGGATGATCTTTTTGGCGCATCCGGATTCGCCATACTTATTATCATTATTGTTATCACGTATCCAATATTCTATTTGTTTTGGCTACCTATAGTTCTTTACCATTTAGTGATGCTAATTGGCTGTCCTTGGCAACTTTGGCAAAGAAGATTTCAAAATGGATGCATGACATTAGATAAACTTATTCCAAGTCTTGCAGATTCTACAGCATCCCTCGTTTTATGCTACATTTACATCGGAATACCATTTTGGTTTTTCTGCGTGATTTACATCGGATCAATTATAATTTTATCGCCAGTATTTTACTTCCTATTCTCTCCAATGGGATATAGCACATTTGGAATTGTTTTACACGTCTCATTGCGTTTTCCAACAACACTCGAGTTTGATATCAAAGAAAGAGTTGAAAAAACATATAGATTTGGAGTCTTTTTCCATGTTTACTTAACGTGCTTACCAATGGTAATAATTTCTGCAGTAAGTGTTGCTTTGAATGGCGTAACTTGGTGGGCAATACTAATGCTTGTTCTTGCAGGTTTAAATTTCCTTGTAGATTGCGTTACAAGCATAATTAACCTCGCTAAGAGAGATGATATGTTTTAATATATTTGTTGAATATTTGTTTGTAAAATATTATGTTTATATGTTAATCTTTCTTTAATTTTCTATGTATTAGCTGTGGCCATTATATTTTTCCATAGTGCTCAATAGATATCTTAATATCTTTAAATTTGCATAGAAAATGCTCTATTTTAAGAAATTTGATAGTTAGTTCATATGCAAATATAGTAAATATGCAAAGGGAAAAAAGAATAAAGACAATTGTATTAAAATTTTGATGATTGCATGAGAATGAGGGAATACAGGTACATTGTACTGGCATCGTACCCAAAATGAGTGTGTTCTGATCAAACAATGCAATCTTGTTGCTTGATTTCTCGCAATTATAATAGAATTTTGTTCTAATTCAAATTTAGTAAATAGACCGATTTTCATAGCATGAAACTACGATTTTAGTATTGTTTTTGACATTTTTATTGTCTACATCGATTTAATACTTCCTAATTTGCAAAATACTTCAATTGATACTTTATTTGCGGTATTTTGTAAAAATTGCAGAGATTAAGCATCGTCGTGATTATAATATAACTATATATAATAGTCTTTTCTAGGTGTGAAGGAAAATTTTTAAAAATTTTTGGAGTTCTGAAAAAAAAATTGAATTGTTTCCTAGCATTAATGTCCCAACCCAATGTTCTTCCAGTTAAATTCGAAGAAATGTTTGATATCCTTAAGGGCGATATAGACGCATTTAATTCATTATATCAGTTAAAGACGAACAATGAAGAAGGGCTAAATTCAATTTACAAAGTTTTAAAAACGATATTGCTTGAATCGAAGATGTGTCTTCCGCAATTCATCTTAGAACGTATATCAATAATTGCCAAATATAATAACCTCTACATGAAGTCATATTTATTTTTAGCTAAACAAATTTATGATTATTATCATCCAGAACGTATCAGAAACATCACACCTATCTTTGACTATCTATTTTACAAAGAATATGGAATAGTTTTAGATGAACGTGAGAAAGAACGATTCAGATATTTTGAACAAAAAAATTATACATCAAATGTTCACGAAGAAAACACTATTTACAGAGCAATAATGGAAGATGATAAAAAATCATTTATATCTTTCACAGAAAGAAAAGGTTTTGACAAAGATGAAGTTCTCTATAGTTATTTTTATCCAAATAATACTTATGATGAGTATCATAAAAATTCATACACACTTCTTGAGCTTTGTTGTTATTATGGATCAATTGATTGTTTCAAATTTTTAATTTCAGAATATAAATCAATAATCACATTGAAATGTCTTCAGTTTTCATTTTTAAGTGGAAACCCAGAAATCATGAGTGAATGTTTGAAATACCAAGAACCAAATAGAAATTGCATGGAATATGCAATTATTTCACACAACATCGATTTTGTTACATTCATAATGAATGAGTACAAAATAGAAATCAATTTGGAATTATGTGGAAATTATAATAATTTTCATGCATTTTTGGTTTATTTGGATCATACTCAAGACATTAACACCTGTATTATTTATTCAACAATGTTTAATAATGTTAAACTTTGTCAATATTTGATTTCGCATGGTGCAAATGTAAATGCTAAAGGTAACTCATTATGCAGCAAGATTTAATAGTAAAGAAATAATAGAGTTACTTATTACACATGGCGCAGATGTCAATGCAAAAGATATCAATAAAAGAACAGCTTTGGATGATGCAGAGATGTTTCGTTATCAAGAAGTTGCCAAACTTCTTATTTCATATGGTACAGATGAAAGCTATACAAATATTTGCAAATTATAAAGACAATTATGAGTGGGCTGCTTTTCATTTAGCAGCATAATACGATTGTAAAGAAATCACAAGAATTTTTATTTCGCATGTTATGGGGTTCTTGAAGCAATGGATGAAATATATCTTAACTATAAACAATTTTAATAAAAATTCATATATATATTTCCACTTAACAGTATCGTAATTTTTCGTGTTACACATGCCGAAGCGTGTTAGCAATTTTGGCATAGCTTTATTTTTTGAAATAATAGAAAACCAGAAATTAATACCTCAATGGAGTCGACAACGAAGGAAGATCTCCGTTGATGATCGCTGCCAAAAATGGTGACTATGACTTGGTGTCACTTTTTATCGATGATGGAGTTGAATTTTCCAAAAGAGACAACAATGGAATGACCGCATTTATGATTGCATGCGGTGAAGGTCATCTACCTGTTGTCAAGTTGCTTGCTGATTACGTAAAAGAAGCAAATGATAAAGACAAAGAAGGAAAAACTGCATTACATCACGCTTGTATGCATAACTTCTGGAAAATTGTTGAATTCCTTTTGTCTGAGTTCAATATGGACCAGTCTATTAAAGATAACACAGGTAAAACTGCAAAAATGTATTGCACTGATGCAGAAGTGTTGAATCTCTTATTATAATAAAAATTATTTTGTATTTTTGTTTATGGGTAATATAAATTGAGTAGTTTATTTTTATCTTCTTCTAAACACTATCCAACTGCGTCGTTACTACTTCCATCTGTTGCATTATGTAGAGTTGTTCCGATATTATTGATATTAGTATCCTTTTATTAACTATTTCTTCAAATGAAGGGATACTTTTCCATTTTCAATTATATTCCTTATTATAGTCATAACCATTGCGATTTATTATTCACAAATCAGATTCATCAGCATCAAATTTGGGTTGGGGTGTTTCGATCTTGCTATCCTAAGAGTTTTAGAGGAAATTGTCTATAGTAATATGTACCACATTTACTAGTGTGAGTTTCGAATATTTTTTTTTTATTTAATGAAGGCAGTATTGTATCTATAGAAAAACCCGTGTTCACGGAGTCATAAATGGACATTTATTGTTTCGAAATATGAATTTGAAGAGGTAAGAATATCTCATTTTAATTTTATATTTACTAGCCATTTATAGATGAATAGCTAATTTTATAAACACTTGTTAATGTTCAGATGGTTTAAATAGTCTATTCTCAAATTTTAAGGCAAACTCAATATAATAGTAAAAATGAAGAACTTCTTCAAACATTATTAGCTTTATTTGACATTTGTAACGATGAATCTATAGAATAACATTAAATTTCTTATTCAATTACAAATAAATAATTAAATTAAAATATAACAAAAAGATATCCTAATAAGATTTATATTATAATCGAACAGTATTAAGCCTTTTGTCTTCTGGCCATTACTCGTTCTAATAAGTTAAAGAGAAGTTCATCAACTTCTTTCAGATCTAATGGCAGCATTCTCATGGACAATTCTTCTTTAATATCCTCTCTCCTCTCGCCAGCATCAACCAGGCTTCCTAGCATAATTAGACATTAAGGGTGTACTTACACCCCTATTACATAGCCTTTAATTTATATGTTTAAGGTTAATTTTCAATGGCGCGTCACGCCATTTGTCAAAAATTTGAATTAAAGTCAGGCGAGGGTATAAGTACAGCCTTAAGTTAATGAATGAAATAATTCGAGAATTTAAGGCGTCATGCTTTTGACACGTATTTTTGGAGGATTTTTTTGACAAGTTTACGTGTTAATATTTTTCGATATCGCTTTTTATCAAAATTTCAGAAATATGATAATTGAAGAAGGGGGTGATAAAACAGAAACACAAGTAATAGATCTAGATGCAGAGTTAAGCACATATTCTCACTATACATTCTCTCCAGATGAAATTATTGGTCTTAGATCTTTTTTTAATCAGCGCGATATGGATTCGGATGGAAGGTTAGGAAAGGATGAATTCAAATGCTTTTTGCAAAGTACCCATATGGATACAAGGTTTATAGAGGCGATTTTCCAAATTTTTGATAGAAATAAAGATGGATTTTTAACATTTGACGATTTCCTTGCCTTTCTTGATGCATGCATTATTTCAGAGAAGCATCCAGCTTACTTTTACAAACTTATTTTTGATTGTGTTGATACTGATCACAACGGCTTCATCAATTTAGAAGAAATGATCGGATTTACAGAGCTTTGTGGAAAGAAACTATCACCAAATCAAATAAGAGATGAACTTCGTTCAATCGATAAAGATAAAAGCGATACCATTGATTTCAATGAAGTTTGCCTAGCTCTAAAGATTATTTAATTTACTGGTTTCAATATTACGTTTGTTAATTTGTATAAAAAAACTAAATTTACTATTGAAACTTTTTTTTACTTTATTACTATTGAATGCTTAAAATTGGCATAAGTATTAAGATAGTATTGCATATTTTCTATCATAAGATAAAGTTTATTTTAGATCATTGAATTTCATTTCAAGATATGTGCATTATTCAAATCCATTGTAATGTAATCTATTGAATATATAAAACAGAACATGAATGATTTATAAAGAAGATTAAAATACAAACAAGCATAAATTAATATAATTAATTTCGCGTCTTAAGGTTTAAAGAAGCAATTTTATCACTCCAATTTTGAACATCTCTTCTATCGAGTTCCTCTTGAAGTTTGATTCGTTGCTGCTTAACTTCATCAAGTTCTAGCTTCTTCTGTGCAGCAATATCTTCTGCTTTCTTCAATTTGGCTTCAATTCTTTCAACTTCTGCTTTAGTTTGGGCATATTGAATATCAAGGGATTTGCTTTGTTTTTCTAACTCATGGATCTCAAATTCAAGCATGTCAATTGTATCACCAGCATCTGTCATTTGTTCTTCGTATTTGTGACTACCTCTTGTGAGACCATATCTAATCTTATCTAGTTCTCGAGTGGCTTTATCAATTTCGTTATCTAATTGTTGATTTTGCAATGAATTATTTTCAGTAGTTTGTTCTTTTTGATAATTAATGTATTGGCGCTGCTCTGACAATGATTGTTCCAATTGCTTCTTTGTAACAAGCATTTCATTGATTTCATCTTGTAGAGTTTGTTTATCTCTTGCAGCTTTGATATGAATAGCTAAAATATTTCTATGAGTAGTTTCTTTAACATCACTAAGATCTTGCTCCATCCATCCGACTTCATCACGAAGGTTTCCACATTCTAATGTAATACCTCTGAGTTGTTTCAAAAGTTGAACATCTTTATTAAGTAATGAAGTTGATAGTTCTGCTCTTGATACAGCAAGTTCAAATCGCTTTGAGTCGACTTCTGAGCTTCTGACAGCAAAAACAGTATCAATATGCTCTTGTAGCCATTCTACAACATCTTCTTCCTCTTCCTCCTCGTCCTTTTTCTGTTGTGGAGTTTCATCCGGTGAATCTTGCTGCTGGTACTCATAAGAGTCATCCGAAAGGCTCATTTTTATATTTTTTTGCTAATTCGAGATTCAATGTACGTTTAGACTTTACATAACATTTTACACGGAATAAATAATATAAAATTCATGTTGCAAAATTTGGATATAACCATCTATTAAATTACAATTATTTGAGCTGTTTTCCAAATTTCTGTGTAAAAAATCCTTTGGTATTTTATTTGTTCTCGATTCAAACCTGAAATATTCACATTTGAGCAATTCTTATTCACCCCTATTGTTCCTGTATAAAGGCTATTATATTCCTCAGTCCAGATTTCAATTTATATTTCTTATCGCCTCTGCAACGGGAAAAATCTTCTCTTGCAATAAATATTAATAAGCATATCCTATAGATGAAAATGTTATTTTCATACAAAAGAGACTTCGACCATTCAATACAATAATATCAGACAGAATTATCGGTAAATTGTAAACTTTTAGAAAAAATATTATGGGTAACGAACAAAGTTTAGAAGTCTCTTCAAAAGAGTATCAAGCCCTTGTTGAACAAACACATTTTAACAAGGAAGAAGTTGCTAAGCTTTATTCTACATTTAAAGATATCTCTGCCACTCATATCGATGATGGCAAGATTGATTTCGAGGAATTTTTCAAAATGCTAGGTTTCACCAACAGAGGTTTTGCACAAAAGGTCTTTGATGCATTTGATACATCCCCAGATAAAGTTATCGATTTCCAAGAATTTGTCACAGGCCTTTCTCATGTTTGCAACCGCGCTACCCTTGAGGAAAAGGCTAAATTTGTATTTAATGTTTACGATGCCGATAAAAGTGGTCAGATTTCAAAGGATGAATTAAAAGATGTCATGTTACAGTCATTAGGTGAAAACTCTTCTATCAAACTTCCACCACAAGTTCTTGACAAGATTATTAACGATACATTCAAGAAGATGGATCTCGATGGAAACGGAGAAATTTCTTTGGATGAATTTATTGCATCTGCCAAGCAAAACCCATCTATCCTTAATTGCGTCTCTGTTGATGTTAACAAAATATTCCAATAAATTTATTTCAACACTATGACTATTTTTTTTAGATTGCAATAAAACTTTCATGATCATTTTTTTACTTCTGCAAAGAAATTTTTAGATATAAAATTTATATAACAAACTATGGTTCATTATTCATTTAAAAATAATCAAAGCTCAAAATATTTTTTTATATCTTTTTTCACTCTTTTGTTTTCCACATTAAAATGGCACGATAGAATTGAATCTCATCTGAGGAATAGGAAATTTTTTTTGATTCCATAAAAATATTGATAATTTCCCTGAAATAATAAGCATTACTAAAGAATTACGGGTTATGAATCATTTAAGTCAGTTATTTGACGGGTTGTTGCAACGATTTTAAAAAATTAGTAATATTTTCAGAATCTTTAAGCTTCGTTCAATTTCTTGATGATTTTGTTTTCTTCAATAAAACTATATATGACATCTCCTCGTTTTTCTTCATAGTACTTCCCAATAATAGCGTTAAGAGAATCAAGAACTAACTGGATGTGATCTGAAATGAAAGATTTGATCGCTTTGAGTATTCCAATCTGAACAGCTGCTTCTACAGCATCAAACCTGTGAAATTCGATATACTTTGAAATAATTGTAATTAAAGATCTTTTAACTTCAAATTCACATTCCAAAGCAATGCAAACAAGTTCCTCAAAATCATTACTGTCGATTGCGTCTAATGTTTCTCTGATTAAAAATTTGTAAGAAACACAAGCTTCAAGGAACCCAATGGCACTCAGTCTACAGTCATTATCATACATAATGTTCATGTAATATCTTAAAGCATGGGATGCCATTTTCCTTTCTATAATAATTAAAAATACAATTACGTTGATCTCGATTTTGGCCATTAAAGGAATTCGGAGAGCTTCCATTAAGTCAGTCATTGTTTTGATGTCTTCGTCATTAAAACATGATACGAGTCTTCTCAGGAAATTTGGGCAACCATATCTTTCCAGTTCGAAAAGATAGTTAATCTCTTCTGGAAAAGCAGTTAGACCGCTTTTCAAAATAACGATGATATCTTTATAACACCGATTAAACATTGTATTGTGGTAAATAAAACTTATTATTGATCGAAATTCTTCTTTCTTTGGATTACGTTCAAATAATTTGGCGAATAATGGAACAATTCTATGTGCCTGAAAAAGAAAATCAAATTGTTCAATTGGATGGTATGTTAAATATTTTTCATTGTCTGGAATAATGGAAAGTACTCTTGTGAGGATTTTAATTGCGTTGTAGTTATCTTTTGATAATCTTTGATTGTCCAATGCAATAGTGTACAAGAGGTCGATTATTTCTGAATCTTTAAGAAATTCGAGAACTTCATCATAATTTGATAGCTTATATATTATTTTAAGTACAAAAGGATAATTATCATAGTCTTGTACTGCCAGAATTTTTATCTAGTCTGAGAGAAAACTTGTATTAATATATGTTGATGGATCAACAGAGAATTTTTTATCTTTGAACATGCCTAGTAAATGATAGAAAAATTCCCAATTGTTATTAATTTCTTTAGGATTCATGTCTTTTATTTTGTTAAGTTGTTGTAACGCTTGTGTGAAAGCTTCATCTTGTTGATTGCTATCATTCATTGACAAGGAAGATACTGATGAAATGAATGATATATCATCGAATGATTGTTTGTAGTCAATCATTCAGGATTCACTCCAACGATAAAGAGTATTCAATTTTTAATTAGTTTACAAATTTTAATTGTTATTGTATTTCTTGAAAATCCACTTTTTGGATCTTTCTGCTTAATAACATCTAATGATGACAAAATAAATACATTATATAGTGATATTACTATTACACTGCCCACTTTCAGACCAAAAATTGCTAAACTCATGGGCTTTTGTTTATGAAATTTACATATCGTTGTCATGAACCTAAAAATTGTATTATAAATCGGTTTGGTCCATCTCTTTTAAATATTTTATGAAAATAACTATATCATATTACTTCGAGGCTTACTGTTTCATATATGATATCAATTTTATAGGGATAGGAAACAGTTGCAGCATCTTGAAAGATTATCTGCTCTGATAATTAACATTACGAAGAACATTAAATTTTTAGATGGTATTGCAAAACACTTTGTGCCTCTACATGGAAAATGTGATATTTACCACCCAAGTTTTTTCTAACTTTTACAACTCACTCTTCTAAATCGCCATTGTCTTTTTTATTTTATTATACTATTATATTCCTACTAAAATATATCAATTATGTTGCATACTAAGTTCGGTCAACGATAGAAATTGAGTGGAAATTAATCGTCGAGGAAGTACGATTATGTAAAGTAAAAAATGTTGTGGGGTTTTTAATATTATATATTATTTTATAATAAAATTTTTTGAGTCATTTTAAGAAGCACATATAATTTTTTGAATTTAAAAATTAAAGTAGTGTCAAACGAATTTATCACTTAATTTAATACTCAGATTTCTTAAAATTAATGAAAAAAAGGTTTTCTGAGAACTTTTGAGAATAGTTTTCAAATTCCATTATTGAAAATATATAGGTATTGTATGAAATTCAAACTCTATATTTATTAAAATTCTAAATTTTTAATAAAATAACTTTTCAGAGGAATATAATTTTGAATGGTTGATTAATAAGTATAAAAATGTCTACGATTTTAAGGAGGGAATTGTTCCTTATGAGGTATACATCATAACTATATACCTCATAAGGAACAATTCCCTCTTGATATCCTGGATATTTTTGAATATATTTTTTTAATTAAAGTTCTCAAAAGTATTATCAAAAGTGATTTTTTAAAAATATCTCCAATTAATTAACTAATTAAAAGTATTATATTTTTAAAATTAAATAGTTTTTCAATTTTTTTGAAGGAATTGAGATACTTCCCACGACAATAAAATTGAGAGGTTTACATTATGACTGATCTTAGCATGCAACAATTATACAGAAGAATCAAATATTTTTTTTCAATGATTTAGAAAAGAATCATATTTTCCAAATTTTTAAATCGATCATAGTTTACCATCAAATGTAATATATAATTCTATATAGATAGCCAGGTATTGTTAATAATATAAAAATATTTCAAGTTCAAATTAATGATTTGTTTCATATGTTTAGAAATAATAGTAAACAGCTAGAAAATAATAAATAATATCATGATTATATTCACAGGAAAGTTCAAGATATATTTTGTGGTTTGCATTTTGATAATAAATATGAATAAAATGTGTATTAAACTCGCAAGTTTAGACTTATCATCATAATTATGCTATCAATTAGTGACTATTGATACAAAACAAGCAACATTAGATCTGTAATGTCCCCCGTTTTGTTATCTGTTTGTATGCATAATGTCATACCACAATGACTAGTCAATCTGTGGTTTCAATATCGTTTTAAATTTATTATCCCAAAATAGTACTTTGGTTATCATTGACAATACGTGTGGTTGCAAATGTTGTAATGTTTCGAAAAAAATAAAGGTATCAAATTTAAACATGTGATTCTCTGGATCTTTGCTAGACAGCAAATGAATAAAAAGTTAAATGAGTTAGTAGGCTCGCTGTGTGCCTACTCACTGTAAATATGCCAAAATAGTTTTTCATTTTTTGGAAAAAAGTTACCTTCCTGCTGCAATATCCCATTAAAGGCTTGCAATAAAAAAATTCTGGAGTGTCAAAAAAAAATTAAATATTTTATTTGAAATATTGGAATGTGTTGTAAAACATACAGTTATGAATCATTTAACTCAGCTATTCGACGAGTTGATTCAATGCTTCTAGAAAATCAGTGAGATTTTCGAAAACTTCATCAGTTTTAGGATCTTCATCATTATCAAGATCTTCTAAAGCTTCATCCAATTTCTCAATGATTTTGTTTTCATCGATCAAACCATATATGATAGCTCCTTGATTTTCTTCATAGTACTTCCCAATAATAGCGTTAAGAGAATCAAGAACTAATTGGATGTGATCTGGAATGAAAGATTTGATCGCTTTGAGTATTCCAATCTGAACAGCTGTTTCTGCTGCATCAAACTTGTGAAACTCAATATACCTTGAAATAATTGTAATTAAAGATCTTTTAACTTCAAATTCACAATATAAGGAAATGCAAACAAGGCTCTTAAAATCACTTTTATAGATTGCGTCTAACGCGTCTTTGACTAAAATATCATTAGAAACACAAGCTTCAAAGAACCGAATGGCACTCAATTTGCAATCCATATCACACAATATGAACATGTAAAATCTAAAAGCATCCTCCGCCATTTTTCTTTCTAAAATAATTGAAAATACAATTTCGTTGACCTCGATTTTGGCCATTAAAGGAATTCGGAGAGCTTCCATTAAGCTAGTCATGGTTTCGATCTCATCACAATCAATAGAATTTAAGAGAATTCCCATGAAATGTGGGTCACCAGGTCTTTGCATTTCGAAAAGATAGTTAATCTCTTCTGGGTAAACAGCTAGAATGCTTTTCAAAATAGCGATAATACCTTTATAACACCGATCAAACATTGTATTTTGGTAAATAAAACTTATTATTGATCGAAATTCTTCTTTGCTTGGATTATATTCTAACAATTTGGCAAATAGTGGAACAATTCTATCTGGTGCAGCAAGGGACTCAAATTCTTCAATTGAGTGGTATCTTAGATATTTTTCATTGTCTGGAATAATGGAAAGTACTCTTGTGAGGATTTTAATTGCGTTGTAGTTATCTGTTGATAATCTTTGATTATCCAATGCAATACTGTATAAGAGGTCGATTATATCTGAATCTTTAAGAAATTCGAGAACTTCATTATAATTTGATAGTTTATATATTATTTTAAGTACAAAAGGATAGCTATCATAGTCTTGTACTGCCAGAATTTTTATCTAGTCTGAGAGAAAACTTGTATTAATATATGTTGATGGATCAACAGAGAATTTTTTATCTTTGAACATGCCTAGTAAATGATAGAAAAATTCCCAATTGTTATTAATTTCTTTAGGATTCATGTCTTTTATTTTGTTAAGTTTTTGCAACACTTGTGCGAAAGCTTGATCTTGTTGATTATTAACAATTATGGGTGAGGAAGATACTGATGAAATGAATGATATATCATCGGATGATTGTTTGTAGTCAATCATTCAGGATTCACTAAAACGATAAAGAATATTCAATTTTTAATTAGTTTACAAATTTTGATCGTTATGATATTTTTTGAAAATCCACTTTTTGGATATTTCTGCTTAATAACATCTACTGATGACAAAACAAATACATTATATAATAGTATTACTATTACACTGCATACTTTCATACCAAAAATTGTTCAACTCATGTACTTTTCCTTCCTTTAGAAATCATTAAGTTCAATACCCTAAAAAATATTTTATGAAAATAACTATATCATAATAATTAGAAGCATCTTGAAAGTATATTTGCTCAGCTAAATAACATTCCAAGGCATTAGATATTCAAATGATTTTAAAACTCATGCAAAGCACGTTTTGTCTCAATTATGAAAATGTTTTACTGAGTTTCTGAAGTATCTTGTAAATACCGGAGTTTTCGCAGCTGTTTATCACTAAAGATTTCACGATTTTAAGAATCTTTAAAAGGAATATTAACCTATGGACACACATAGTAGATATCACTCTTTGTATCTGCTTGAGGTTCCTCATTTAGAACTAACAATTTAAAAAATAAATAAGAATAATTAATCAAATTTTGAATTTAGAACAAAAGAAATCGACAATCTAATATGTATTTTAATTCATCTGGTCAAGATTTAAATTCGTTTGCTGTGGCATGGCTGCCTGTGCCATTCTCATTTCATTTTCCGCTTTGTTTCTCTTACTCATAATGAATCTGTATTTGAACCTACACTGTACATCACATCTATTACCCATTTCGGCGGCAACTCTAGTCCATTGCCTATCGCCTACTTGTGCGACGATTCTGAGTAGTTTTTCTTCTTCTTCCTGTGTCCAATTTGCTTTGGAGATACGTGGATCTATAACTCTATTCCATCTTTGCGAGCATTGTGAGCGCGTTCTATCATTTCCTACAATGCTAGCTACGTTGCCCCACTGATTTGTACCGTGAATAGCAACAGCTTCTGAAAGTCTTTGATCTTCTTCTGGAGTCCATGGTTTTGATTTTCTGCGATTTGTAGTGTGGTTTTCCATTTGTGGTACTGCAAGCATAATGACATGAATAATAGGATCAAGACGTGAAACATCTTTGAGGTATGGCCTGCAAAGCTCTTTAAGCTGATCTATATCGATGATATGACTTGAATATTGTTTGAAAACCGTTTCTAGATTTTCTTTTGCGCTAGGCTCATCAGTATAATCTTCTGGCTTTAATGTATTTGATACGAGATCAGCTACTGTGTCTGAAATCCTTGAGAAGCCCATATCATAATTCATTACTTTTTTGGGTATGAAAAATTAATTCAATACTTTACAGCCCGCCAATAATTACAAGGATGGATTTTTCTTATTTCATGAATTATTTGTTATTTATAATCGATGTGCAGATGAGATAATAAAAAATCCACGCTAGCATAAAAGATTTCGAAACACAACTTGATATTTTACAGATCGGATCTAATAATTACCTTCACTTACATATACAGAATGACCTTTTTCGATTCGATATCCACTTTGTTGGATGATCGAAGAAGAAAATATTCAATTTCAAAAAGACAAGATAAGTCATAGCAAACCGATTCGTAGAATCCCAAGAAATGTCCAAACATTCGGTCCAAAAGTAAAATCAGCTAGCCAGGCGAATAAATTTAATTTTCAACACGTAGTCTATGCACTTAAAAGCATCAGCGAGGGGCGAGATATATTAAGCAGCATTAAAACAGTCTCAGATCGCATAAATGACTTAAATGAATCCGATTTAGAGAAGATTGAAACAATGATTCCTTACAATGTTCTACTAGATGTGATAGTTTCAATGGGTGATTCAGCAGATTCATCGCCAAAACCGGGTAATTTTACTCCAATACTAATAATTTTAAGTAAATTTGCTGGAAATGATTCATTTCCAGCCAATTTATTCATTGATGAAAAAATACTACAACTAATTTTATCTGTTATCAGTAATGCAGAAGGTCTAGATAATAGAGACTATGCATTTAAGATCTTTAATACATTAGTCAGAATTGATGTCAGTGTGCGTGACTTCCTGATAGCAAATGGCATCAAAACTATACTTTACACAGAAAGTTTACCTCCTTCTGGCATAGATTTACTATTCGCTTTCGCTTTTACCCAGCCATATTTAGAAAAAAATACAATTAGACAGATTTACTTTACTCTTCTTAATATAATACAAGGAGGGAAATCTAAATCTGTTCTACGCATCCTTGAGTATCTACAAGAAGATCTGCCAGCCGTTGAAGGTTTTGCGTTTGAATTTGCAGAATATATCTTAATAAGAATAGAAAATAAGTATGAATATAAGATTGTTCGGAAAGTGTTTGATGTTAAAGGAAAATTAGAGATTCCTGATGAGACATGTTATATGTTTTTGTTAAACTCTCTGAAATCGAACATCGAGAAGCCATCAACACATGAATTACAGAGTTTTTTAATATGGGGATTTAGCACATTAGTATCATTCATCTCTAATTTCGACTTAGATTCATTGAAACAAATCTCAGAGTTTTTCTTCGAAAAATTTGCAAAATTTTCATATAAAATACAAGTTGTTGTTGTCAAGGCATTCTGTTTGATGGATAGTTCGTGTTTAGATGATTCTCGTTGTGTTGATGCCCTTGTGCAGTTCTCTGTTGATGAAACAATTGGCGCACACTGCATGATGAAACTTGTTTCAATAATTAAAAGAGGTAGCGAAATCTCAGAATACGCAGCAGAAAAATGCCATGAAATAGATGATTCTATCAATGACATGATGACAAATGAAGACCCTGAGAAATCTAATGCTGCAGCAACATTATCAATTACTCTTGAAGAAATGCAAAAATAAACTTTTTTTATATTATTGTTCTTTTAAATGTTACTATCATGTTTAATTCTCGAGCATTGACTATGATTCATTGTTGAAATAGTGCTCTATGATTACTGCTTACAAATGATTTATAATTGCGTGTTTTGCAATTATTTTCAAATTTCTTTAAAATATCTATATTTCTTGGTTTTAAAGAGATGTGGTCCTAGATGACATTGTTCTTATATCAACTAAGCAATTTAATGTTAAATTATTTATTCAAGATCGCATTTTGTCATGTAAATTACTCAAGAAATTATTTGCCAAAATTTTTTGTAAACAAATTTTATATATGATCGATTGCCTCTCAAATTTCAACAGGTTGAATTTAAAGAAATTTTATTTAGTTTCATGACCAAACCAACAACATACGTCTCATTTGATATTGATGGAACCCTTGTTCTTGGACACAATGCTCTTAAAGAGCATCATGGTGCATTCCAGAGGGCAGTTTCAGAAATGTTCGGCGAATGTGGCATGCCAATCCCATTCCTTGGCCATCCTGTTGATGGTTGGATGGACATGAAGATCATTGAGGCAATGATCAAGAAGCTTGGAGTAGAATACACACCAGAACAATTACAAAAGTGCTTATCGTTAAGCGAAGACTACTATTGTGCTGCTGCTACTCAAAAATCCGAAGTTCTCCCAGGTATTGAGCACCTCCTTCAGGTTTTAAGCGAAATGCCTAACGTTGAAATCGGAATTGCATCTGGAAACCTTCCACGCATTGCCTGGCATAAACTTGAACTATCTGGAATCGCCAAATACTTTAAGAACAAGCTCGGAGGCTTTGGTGTTGTTGAAAATAGAAATGAAGCAGTTAAAGCATCAAGAAAGAACGCCGAAGAATTCCACCATACAACATTCAAGACACATATACATGTTGGTGATACACCAAGTGATATTACAGCTGGTCAATACGCTGGAGCAATCCCTGTTGCAGTCAGGACTGGTCTTACAAACTGGGAATCATTCCCACAGCCATGCCATGAGTTCAAGAATCTCGATGTCGATTTCAATGAATTCATGAAGTTAATAGATTCTCAATAAGCCGATATAAACTTGTACAATACATGAATAAATAGCTCTTATATATTTTAAGTATATGCGCACGCTCAAACTTGTCCTTTTTAAAAATATTTTGTATGGCCAGATTTTATTTTGAAACTTTTTGGCAAAATTAATATAAATTCCTATAAGTATAGAACTTTTTGATTAATTGTAGCTATTCAAATTGTAGTTTTATCTAAATAGGAATTAGGCATATTCGATTTTTTGATTTCCTATGGTGCAAATATGTTGAACTGTATGAATAGATCTTAATTGTATTAGAATTTAAAATAAAAGAAAGGAAGAAAAAATTAGTAATTTGAATAAGTTTATAAACGAATTTTGACAACAAATAATCATAAGATAGATACTTGCCTGGATGCGTAAGTGCTTAATAGCCATCACCTTCGGCCTTGCCCCAAAGGATGATGAAGGCAATTAAACCGATTGCAGTTGCTGCATCACCACCCATCATGAATCCGAAGCATATGCCATCAATTGTGCCACAATGCCAAAATACTGCAATTAAAGCAATGCAAGAAACAATGCTGCAAAGAAGGTAGAAAAGAACTGAGTCTGCTGTAAAGATATTGCATCCTTCTGTATCTTCTACGTAATCATCGCCCATTTTTGTTGATAATGAGATGCCAAAAATGCAAGAAAGTGTTGCTGGAATAATTCCGAAAAGTGGCCACCACTGTTTGGTGATAGCGCATCCTGCGATATAAAGAACAAGAGCAATTGTGCCAAATATGCCGATAACGATGTATGGCGCAGCTTGAATCATTTTTTTATAAAAAAAAATTTTCCCAACGGTTTGATAAAATTTTATGTCAGACAACGTCGTTTTCAGACTAAGTTGCCATAAAAATTGATTCATTACTATTTATAAGTCAGAATTTCCAAAATGGTGGCATAAAAATTAATCTTATTATGAAATTTAAAGATACACGGCCTGTAATTGTCATATTTAATCTCCTGAAATAAATTAATAAAATAGTTTTATCATTAAATTAGTTATTTATGTTGGCTTCATTAGACACATTTATTTCAATACTGTTTTGAGAAATTTGGAAGATATTAATATAATAACTCCTTATGTCTAGAAAGAATATATTATTTAACTTCAATTTTCGAGTCATAATGTATCATGAATAATATGTCTATGTTGTAGTCTTTTGATTTATGAAACTATAACTAGAAATTAACAGTGTAAACCATATTTAGTGATAATTTGATTCTTTATCCTTAATGAGAAAATTCGATGAAATATCTTAACTTCAGCAGTTTCAAATTGGACCATTAGCCCACTGACTTTTGAAAACAAATATAAATTTACCTGATTTTATCTTAAATTTCATCATATCAATAAAGAATTAATATCAATTTTGTAACCACTGAGCAAAAGATCTTCACACTAGAATACTCAGAATGCAAAAGGTAGTCAACAACTAATATGTTTCAGAACATCCTCGTCAATTTTCATTGGATAACTTTTTTTTTTCAAATTTCATGACATATTAAGAATTAATATTAATATTGCAACCACTGAGCAAAAGATCTTCACACTAGAATACTCAGAATGCAAAAGGTAGTCAACAACTAATATGTTTTAGAATATCCTCATCAATTTTCATTGGATAATTTTATTTCTCAACCTTAGAAGAAAATTTTCTTATAGATATAATCTATTTTATATGTTAATGTTAAATGTAAAATAAAAATAGCTGGGACAGGATGCGAAAAGTGAATTGTGATATGAAATTGTGAGAATCTCCTAGAATATTTTGACTACTTCTCTCGATTTTAAATTTTACATACGCATTTTGTCCCCAAGTTTATCTGTTGTGCTATTTGTAGTGTAAATAAGTTTTTTTTTCTCCATGCACCACGAAGAGGAGCTTCTGATTTACTATCATTATTGTGTTAATTGCTCCAAAAATCAATTCAATACCTTTCAAAATTTGAATACCAAATTTAAGTGAAAAGTGGCATAAATCATTAAATTTCCAATTTTTCGATGCGTTAGTATCCAACAATTTTAACACTTCTATCACTGAAAGCAATTGCGCTTAGGGCTATAATCACAAGTATTGTAGCTGGAATTAAAGGTTTCTACGAAATGTTACGCAATACAAATAATGAAGAATACTTTAATTCGTTCATTTCACAGCAACCAATGATTTCTTGTTATAAAATATCGTTAAACCACTATAGTGAATGGAGACCACCTGATGAAATTATACAAGAAAGGTACAATTTTAATTATGGATCATGGAAATATCGTCCATTAAATATTGCGGATAATGAAGGAAAAATAGTTATTTATCGGTTGAAAGAAAAATACACTCTAAATGATGAGGCAATAGAAAGATACAATTATTTTTTGCAAAACATAAATCGGGGAATTAGTAACCGCGTTAGAAGGTATACTTATGATCCATTGATTGTGGACGATGACCCTGACACACGTTTGGTTTGCATAAACAAAAAGAATTCAAGAATATTCAATTTATTGACAAGCAATTTTGGTGTATATTTATATCTATTTTTCAGAATTCTTGGATTGTATCCGATTTCTGAAATGATATTCTTTAAACTAGTTGACGAAGTAATTGATATTACAGTTGAAAAAGTGATCTCATTAGATAGAAATCAATTTCCATTTAGATACAATCAACATGCACCTGGAGCAGAAAAACTAGAACGTAGATCGAAAGATGAAGGTTATATGGGCGTTTTTGATTATTGGTTGAACAAAATATTATTGGGATTAGTATTGGTGTCAGTTTATATGAATGTGGCTAATGAAAAATTGAATGGTGAGCCGTAGTCGGTTTGTCAAAACCCCCAATTTTGATCAATTGTGTTTTAAGACTAAACTTTTTTTTGTATACTTCCATATATAGTAAATATTTTTAGCTATTTTGATTGATTATAGATATGATATATTACCATATATCATATCTGTAAAAATCATGGAAAAATATCTCGATACCAAAGTTAAAGGTGCGAGTGATGCCCTAAAGATGATATGTAAACATCACAAATATAACCTTATTAGAGTTCAAATGTATGGATCACCCTGATTCTCAGTACTCAATATGATGGAAGGTCTATCGTCTTTAGGGCCCCTTAAATGATTAAAAGAATTGTTAAATTTTATTATTTTGAAGCGAGCCTTGAATTGTGTTTCTGTTTTAAATTCTCAAAGGAAATCCGAAATCATCAATTTCGTTTTTCAAATAATCCTTTTTGCATCGTGTCTGGTGAAAAAAAATATTTTTTTTTCTTGATGCACATTCAAGAGGAGTTTTTATATTACTATCTTTTTTATTTAAGGATACCCTTACGTGTCAGATTTTTTGCGCATACGAAGAAGTCATGCTAGACATGAGCTATAAACCTGAAATTTTAGCAACATATTTAAAACTTTTTAAACTACAATACACTTTAATATTCAAGAACAAAAATATTCTTTTTAGAAATTACATAATTATTTTATGTGAAATCTATATAAAAACATATTTTGCGAGCGTAACTTTTTTCTTTATAAGCACCTTATATGACTGATAAACTGTGAAGGCACATAATTGTTAATTCATAGAGTTGATATGTTTCCAAAATTGAGAGGAAATTTGAAAATTGAATACCCTTTCAATTCAATTTTCAAAAGATATCAGCTCCTTCAATAATTGAAGGACGATTTTGATCATTTGCTCTTAAAACAAGTATGCCATGGAGAAAAAAGTTACGCTCGCAAATCTGAAATATAACTATCATATAAAAAAATTAAATTTCTAATTTTTTACTCTATAGATATTATTGGCCACTTGTGTAATGCATAAAAGTTTATGTCATATGCATACATTTGGAAGTATGGGAGACGAGGGAAATTACTTCTATGAGGCACTAGGATTTTTAAAAATTTCTCTATCGGACTCACCATTCAATTTCTCGAAAATTAAAAAAAATCAATAATAGCTAAAATGTATTATGCATAACAAATTTTAATGTTACACGGTATTTTTTGAACTTCATGACATGAATTTTCTTTATATTATTTTTTTTTTGGATTTTCTATGATTTATGCGATAGGCTGGAACAACATTGTAAGTGCAATGATATCATTTATAGAGAAATCTAAAACTTCAGCATTCAGAACTCGCAACCACAAAAATATTCATTTGCTAAGTAAGTAATGTTGATTAAGTTCGACACTTAGCTTTTATACGTAAAACCAAGTGTGTATTGTTATTTCTTGTTAAATTATTGAGAAAAAAATAAATTGTAAGAGAAACGATACTGATTATTGAAATAATATTGAGGGTAGCTGCAGATTTCTTCATTAACATGCCGGAAATTTGTTAATCTTGGTTTTCTATCATAAAATCTGTCGAAGAATCTAAAAACGGAGATATGAAATAGAGATCATGTAAATCTAGAGTATCCTGTCAGAAAAATAGACTAAGCATGTAACCCTTTTTTGGTCATAAACACTTTTTACCACTTAGTCATACAGATGATCATTAAATTTAAACGAGCACTTTTTGTCAGAATTTATTCTTTTACAAAGACAGAAGATTTTAGTATTATTTAATATTAGTGCTGTAGCAAAATTCAAAAAACGGTGAAAATTCAGTGAATTTGTGAATTCACATTTTTTTTTCGACATTTTTCTTGATATATCCATGCACATTAAGAACACAGCTTTGATACGCTTAAAAAAGCATATTTCATATGAAATTGTTAAAGAAATAAACAATTTATATAAAAATTGCACTTATGGCAGTTTAGATATATAATTTATATATAACATATATACAAATCCATAGACAAAGTGCAATAACTACAATGTTGTAGAAAATTACAGCAGAAATACTGACTTTTTGAAGGATAATAAGAATTCTTCTAAATGTTGTATTTTTATAATTTGATTGATTTTTTTACTATTTCATTAATCTTTTATGAATAATAATTATTTTTAATATATGTGCTATTAAAATTTCAAATTTTGACTAATATATCTAAATTATCTGAACGAAACATTTAGAAAATATCATACTTACATTGAAATAGCAAGTAGAGCATATTAATAGCAAGTTTCTTGGCTTTATATCTATCATCTATTGTTGTTTGATCAAACAAAATTCACTCTATTATATGGTGTCAATTAATTAAAACAATTTTTAATAGTTATTTATTTAGTGCGAATAAGTGCAAACTCATAAATGAATAACTTAATAGTAGAAATGAATTATCTGATATAAAATCTCACATTTTGTCCATCAGAAATACTTTAATTGCATACGCATAACTATTAGTAATACGTCTGGAGTGTCAATTAATAACAATCCCACAACAAGTAAAATTCAGATTTTTATTAAACTTATTTTTTCCTAAAAGTTTTCTCAAATTACTATATATACATATGTGGATAAAATAATAGTAATATTGTAAAAAATTAGATAATTTTTTTTATTTGAGAACCTCTCAAAAGTTCATTCAATTTATCAATTGTTTCAGTTTGATGTATATTCATTTCTGGAGCCTAAAACTTTAGCAATCATGACAATATCATATTCTCTTTCTAACTACGCAATGTAAGGGTATCCTTAAAAATATAAATGTTATTTTTTCTTGATGCTCATTCAAGAGGAGTTTTTATATTATTATCTTTTTTATTTAAAAATACAAATTTTATTTTTTCCCCTTTGTATCTTGAAAAGGAGTTTCTCAAGCACTATCTTTTTTTATTTAAGAGTGAATGTAGGCCCATTTGACAATAATTCAAATTATAGACATCGGCGCGAAGTGCTCTTACCACTTTCGGATATTCTTTGTCAAAATTAAAAATAAAAATATTGTATTTAAGGGTACATTAATTCCTTGTCTTTAAAGTCAGATGGGCGTAAGTACATCCTTAGTGATTGAGAGAATTCCAGAAAATGATAAATGCGATTTTAAAACAAAAAAAGATTTGATTTTAAAATAGTAAACTCTATAAAAATATTATTTTATTTTGGAAACAAATCAGGATAAGCGATCTGAAGTTTCTGCAATTCAAGAGTGATGATGTCTTTCTTCACATAAACAGCGATACTTGCTTTAAATATCATTCCTCCGTAAACAAACCTTGTTCCAGGCACTTGTATCAAACAGCCGCCTTGTTTGGAGTTCTTTATTGCCTCCTGAGCCTTTTCAGACAAATCTTTGTTTGATGCTCCACTTGGACCACCTTCCAAAAGTTTCTTCACGTCTTCAGGAATGACTTCTATGATCTGTCTAGTTGCGTGCGGTGTAATAAATATGGCACCGTCAGCAGATGGATATATAGTGTCATCTTTCCGTGTAAAAATGTTTACACCACCGGCCACGACGTTTATTTTTTGACAGCCGATAGAGGACACTAATTCAGAACATGGTTTACAAAGGATGTAAACGTTCTTTGCGTTGCTCTCGTTGCGCGCGAAGAGCTGTTCGCTTGGGAAATCCTTCAGACCGTAAAGATCCTTGATCTCGTCCCATAGTTCTGGGAAATTTTTGACTAATGGAATAAATGGAGCTTCTTTGACTGGTTTCTGGGGTTTGTCGCCAGAAATGCGGTCGAAATCTTTCAGCTTCTTAAGAACAGTTACAAAGAAACCTCCGGAGTTCTCGTAATGCGGGAAAAATCTCATACAATTATTTAAGCCTTCAACGCCAGAAGGGAACATCGTTTTGGATACTTGGCCTTTGAGATTATCTGGTACGTCGCTATGGAGCTCGTATCTGAGCATTTCATTTGGATTTTCTTTTGATACGGTGTAAACTGGCCAAGATGTGAGGCCACTATGGCGTTTGAGGGTTGGGAATATTGAGGAAGTATCTACTATCTCTACGCAACCTGGGATTTCTGAAAGAACTGAACCAATTACGGCTTCATCTTCAATTGGGTTCATTGAGCAGGTAGAGTAGACTAATGTGCCACCTACTTTGAGTAATTCGAGGCCTCGTTTGAGAATTGCGCGTTGTAAGCCGTGCATTGCTGTTGAATTATTTGGTTTCCAAGATGAAGCAACGTTTGAGTCTTTTCTGACTGTTCCATCGCCTGAACATGGAACATCTGCAAGTATTTTGTCGAACTTTATGCCGAAATCAGGTAAATATTGTGCTGCATTGCAAGTTACAAGAACTTTTGAAGTTCCGATCTCTTGGACTTGATGTAAGAGTGTGTAACAGCGTTTAAGATCGATATCGTTAGCAATAACAAGGCCATTTCCTTGAGAAAGACTCTCTACAATCTGAGATGTCTTTGAACCAGGGCTAGCGCACATATCGAGTATAACATCATCCTTAGAAACTTGCATGAAGTGGTGTGGAATCATAGAAACAAGCTCTTGACGACGAATATAACCCATTTTGATATTATTTCTTAACCAATAGCGAAAATCAGCTGTAGACTCATCTCTTCTGAATGCAGATTCTGTCATATCAACTTGGTAGACAGCGCCGAATTCTGGAGGTAAAGATGTTTTCTTTTCACATTTAAATCCTTTAGATGTTAAATTTTCGAAATGTTTTTCTGTCTGCTGGCATAAGTCATCGAAATGAGGTGTGTCTTTAGCGATTCTGAAGACAATTGGAAGAGGAGTTTTGAAAATCTCTTGCATTTGCTGATTTTCTTCCTCACTCATGATATTTGGAACGAATATATCATGATAGTACTTCAAGTACATGTCTGAGAATTTGGCGACCTTTGGTGCAAATCCTTCTTTTTCCATGGAATAAAAGTGACAAAATTATTTTGATACTCTTTTTTTATTCACTACATTGAATTATGAAGCTGTTGAATTATATGTCATATATGTTTTTTGTTGCATGATCTGTTTCATGATCTATATGGAAGGTTTGTTGACATATAGATTCATTGATTATATATTAAGTATTATAATAAAGGTAAGTATTGTCTTTTGCTTTGTACTCATTTTAAAGAAGTGTGGATGTGTTTTGGAACCCCAATTTAGTAGAAATACATTGTTATTGTTGTATCTTTGATCATTTAAGCATTTAAAGCTTTATATTTGTATTCATATACTAACTTCTTATATATTGCATGAGTTCGTATATACAATACTGTGATTTACTGATAATTATAAGATTATCATGAAAAATTTCAATTTATAATTAGTTTCATCTGTCAAATAGTTAATGTAACATATCAAAATCATCTTGATTGGCATCATGAAATGCAAAATGGAGTAATCCATTGGATCAAATTCTTTTATAAAAATTATTTGCTCACATCAAGAATAATATTTGTTCATTAAAAAAAAAAAAAAAAAAAAGGTAGTGGGGCCTCCAGGCACTTCGTGCCCTCTAGCCCTGAAGATGTTTAGTATAACTTTGTCCGGACAAGTAAGGGTCTATCGTCGCTACAGGAAAAGTTACAGGCGTTCCAAGGAAGTATACTTTGAGAAGCCTTCTTCTGGGTCGAAAACATTATATAATGTGTCGCTTTTCACAAATTATATATGTTTTCATGTTTTGTCACTTTTCTGTCACTTTTCAGGAAAAAACATTTTTATTATTATATATAAATGAATTTTACAAAACCACCGTTACCATTCTTTGGAAATAAGAGTAGATGTAAAGATATTCTATTGAGAGAACTTAAGAAACTACCGAATGGTCTAACATTTGTAGATTTGTTCGGTGGAAGTTTCTATATATCCCATTTGTGCCATACAATATTCCCAGACTCAAAGATTATATGCAATGACTTCGACAACTATATGGACCGTCTCAAACATATACCAGACACAAACAATATATTGAAAGAGTTAAAAGAAAAGATACCTATAGGTAAGATGGAACGTATACCATTAGATAACAAAAATATTGTGAGAGAGGTTTTGAAAAAAGCAGAATATATAGACTGGGATAGTATATCTGCTAGACTATTATATAGTGGTTCTATAAGAGTTCATGACATTGAAACACTTATGTCAAACGTTTTATATCTTAACTATACAAATGTTTTCAAAGAGGACATAGAAAAATATATTGAGGGTATAGAGTTTGTGAGATGTCGTTGGACAGAGTTGTATGAAAAATATAAAGACAAGGAAAATGTTTTCTTTATAGTGGACCCGCCGTTCTATAACACATGCGATTTTCAATACCAAGTAGACTGGACTTTGAGAGACTCTTTAGAAACTTTAGACGTTTTACATAACCATCCATGCTTTTACTTTACATCCGATAAAAGTGGTTTGGAAACCGTTATGAGATGGTTAGAGGACATACATGACTATGAGTTTAGATATGACAAGATAGAATATGAGAGAGGTCCTATAAACCGGAGAAAGTGTCATAACAAAGAAATTTTACTAGTAAGTAAATGTGGTTTGAAATAGGACTACTTGTTTTAGGTTTTTTCCATTGTGTCATTTATTTATTTGACGTGGCAGAAAAATACAGAGAATATGAAGATGAACCAATGCCTGCAAATGTTCAGTATATGTACTCGTAAGAGATATTTTTATCTAATATTAAATGGACGCACAGAACTTAGCAAATGCACAGCAACCTGGACAACCAAACCCAGAGAATATTCCAAATGAAGTTAGAATACAAACTGCAATGGCAAACTATGGTCAAGTGCCAACAGATGTACAAATGCAAACTGCCATGTCAAATGACGCTGCGTTAGGTTTGCCACCATGGTATGCAAATATGAGATGGAAAGAGTTTTATACAAACCCTGAAGTGGGATATAAACAACTTTATGCAGATGACGCGAACACAGGAGTTGACCCAGAATATGTTTTCTACCAGAGGAGAAACAGAATGTATGAGCTCCAGTTAAAGAATGCTATGGAACTCAACAGGAAACGTAAGAGACTAGGCGGACATTAGATTTTTACACGTAGTAAATGGGTTTCTTTGGAAGAATAGGAAACTTCTTTCGAAATGTTGGAAGAGGTATATGGAATGGAATAAAATCTGTCGGAAGAGGAATTTGGAACGGAGTCAAAAATATTGGTAAAAGAGTAGGTCAGTTCGTTGGTATTATACCTAAAGACCCTGAACCAGAAGAACAAGCTCCTGTTATACAACAGCCTGAACCTGCACCACAGTCTAGTTGGCAACCAAATCCAACACCTCAACCGTATTAAAAAATTATATTTTTACCGTTCGATAGTAGTTGTATATGAAACTAAGTTCTAAGTAAAACGCATGGTATAATGGAACTATTCTCTTTCTTCCATCTGTTGTAAACCATACTTGAAAGTCTGAAATACTTCCACTTGGTGGTTCATATAGCTTTGTAGGTTTTTCGTAAAAGTCATTTGCCAAGCATAAAAAAGAGTTTTGTGCACCAGAAAATGAAGCATAAACTATAATAGCATCTGAGTCGAAAACATTTTCATATGTTCCATTAGGGTTTTCGACTTCATAAAAGTCCGGGTGTACTGGATATTCTGCAGGCTGATTTAACATCCTCAGAAATCTATACCATGCCAAGTTGTTATATTTTGTAGAAATATAAACGTTTTCTCCAAGGTCTTCTATTCTATTGATTTTAACAGTTGCATTTTTCCTGTCATATATAATATCGAGATGGTACTCTCCCTCGTCAATGTTATACTGGTTTGCATATTCGATATAGATGTCGTTTATTTTTTCTTGAAAAGCTTGAAGAGTTGTTTCTAAGTTTACAAGCAAACTAACTTGTAAAAGTTTTCCCTGTTCAAATTTCTCATACATACGTTTTTCTTTGTTATAGTATCGAACTACAAAACCGACTGTAAATGGGAAACCATGTATGGCTTCTGAAATGAACTTCATTCTACGAAAGCCAATAGCTTTTGTGACAGATGGGTCTCTTAACCATCTTAACGGGTAGTCAAAACGATAGCCTTCATGCTTTACGGTCTCTGTCTCAAACTTTTGACCGACATTCGTAAAAAGTTCATCTAATGGTTTAGTTGTAGCAACTCTTGAATTTTCTTTTTCTATTGAAAGCATATTTTATCTAGAATAAAAATGTCAAATGAAACAGCGTCTATGAGAGAAATACAACACAACCGACAACTCATTATACAAGCTCTAAATAAGAACACAACAAACTTTTCAAACTATTCTAAGATATCTGAGTCATTGAAAGAAGGAAACTTAAAACTGACATTAAACCCAATGACAGATGAGTTTCTGTTTCAAGACAATAAGAACCATACTGTTTGTATAAATCCAACAAAAGGAACTTTAAACGAGAAACCTATAAATGAACTTCTTTTGAAAGCAGATGTTGACAACAAAGCAGACAAAACATATGTAGACGATGCAATAGCAAAAGAAGAAGAAAGAGCTAACAAAGCTTATGCAACAAAAGAACATACTCATCCTGAACTAGCAGACAAAACATATGTTGACAATAAAATGTCAAGTGAAGTGACAAGAGCTGAAAACGAATATTCTAAAAAGACTCATATACATACCATTGCAAATATTACAAACTTACAAGAAACCTTAAACAGTAAAAGTGCCGTTGGACATACACATTCTATTCTGAAATAACAGACTTAAACGTTAGCCTTGAAAGAAAGCAGATAAAACATATGTTAACGATGAGTTAGCATGTGTGGCTAGTAAGTTAGAGAAGAAAGCAGATAAGGAATATGTGGATGAAAAAGATAACGAAATGAAAGAAAGGGTTGACTGGTACCATGAATGGACATCGAAGATTTTAAAAAGTAAAGCCGATACAGGATGGGTTTCAGGATGTTTAGACCTTAAAGCGGATAAAACATATGTTAACGATGAGTTAGAGAAGAAAGCAAATAAGACTCATACACATACAAGTTTTACAACTTTTACAGCAGACGACATAATATTGAACTTTGACCTTGGTTCAAGTGCACCTTTAGAGAATCCAAGTACAAGCGTAAAAGATACACTAAACAATTTAGATAACAGTTGCAGGAACATTGAAAGTCATGCCAGAAACTTTGAAGCATATGAACTACCAGCAATGTTAGATAAGAAGGCTGACAAAACAGAGCTTCAAACATTAAAGACAGAAATGCTTCAAACATTATATCCTATAGGCTCTATTTATACGTCAGTGAACTCTACCAGACCAGAAACAGTACTTGGTTTTGGAACTTGGACTCAAATAGTCGACAGGTTTTTGTATTGTGCAAACTCTTCAAAGGAAACAGGTGGAAGTAAAACGATTTCAGGTGAAAATTTACCTGCACACAGTCACTACATAGATTTAAGTACATCTCAAGCAGGTTGGCATAAGCATAAATTTTGGGATTGGTCAGGAATGACAAAAGGTAAAGGATATGATGTTAAAGACAACGTTCAGTTTGCTATAAATTGTTTCTGGGGTAACACTCAGGGAGATGGAAACCATACACATCGCGTTTCAGGGTATACGCAAACAACGGGACAAAGTAAAGACTACATGCCACCTTACATGACAGTTTACGCATGGTATAGAAATGCTTAGTCGTCATTTTCAACTTCTTTAGCATATTCGTCAGGAGTTGTCTTATATTTGTTAGGAACTGTCTTTGAAAGTATACACCTTGAACTTTGACAAGTTTGAAACGAGGTCTGACAAGTAGTTTTATCTTCTGCTTGCAGTGTGTACATTTTGCCATGTTTGCCTAAAACTTCATAATATTCTCTTGTATACTTTCTTCTATTTTTACGAACACGAATGTGAGTACCTGTCGGGTTCCCATTGTTGTCATAGTCAATAGTATTT